GGACTTGACAAGCTGCTCTAAGTTTCTCACAAGAGGAGAAAAGGATAGAATATACTGTAAATACATTGTGTCGCTACTAATGATGTGCCCAGAATGGATACACAAGCCATGGGCTTTGCAGCCACCAGCTGGGACTAGATGTGGATTCTGGGCCGGAGGCTCTGCACTGCTGCTTTTGTGGCTCAGCCAAAAGCCTTTGGAGGCCCTCTGGAGCGGAATGCAGCCCTTGGGCCAGAGAGGTTTGGCTGCCCAGTGCAAAAGGCTTCAGCCTGGTCTGGGTCCTTCTTGGAGGAGTTGCTCCCTTGGGCGCTCTCCGAGGTGCTGCAGCATCAAGCCTGCCTCGCAGGGCAGAGCAAAAGCCCTTCTGGGTGCAGGAAAAGAATCGCTCAGGGCTGCTTCAGAGAAGGGCAAAGTGTTTTCTGGAGCAGGAAAAAGTGGGGATGCCCCCAGACCCATGCTTCTTGATGTACCAGGCATGGAGACATACTGTCGTGAAAATGTATGCATTGCTTTCCACCCACCCGCCCCGACACGCAAGCTCGAAGTGGCTTCCACGCACAATTAAAGGGGTCCATAATTAATTTAACAGGAAAAAATCCAAAATTAAATGACCCATTATTAGGACAACTCAAAATCATAATAAAAACTATACATATGTGCAATGCACAAGCTCCTCTCCCAGTCCAGAACAACCGCTTCAGTATCAACCACAACAGGACCATGGCTAATGTTCAAAGCCTAGGAAAAGAAGCCTATCTTTGTCTAGTGCTGAAAGGACAGTGTCTGCATTAGGCAAGCTCCCTTGGAAAAAACTTTCCAGAAATGCGGAGCTAACCCAGAAAAGGCCCGTTGCCTTTCTGAGCTGCCACACCACCCCCCATGAGCTTCTCTAGGAGAGGGCACACAGGGAATGGCTCTGATACACCACATATATTCAGGTATATTCGTATGGAACAGGTAGCCCTTGAGATATTGGAGTCTTCCTAAACAGCCATCCTGTTCCTCCTCTACCTGAAGGGTAGATGGATAGTGCCAGCATCCCCGTATGGATGTGACCACGGGAGCTGCAGTTTGCCACACTCCCTGATGTGGGGCAGCTGTGGCTTTGGAGACCTCTTTGCTGCTAGGTTGGGCCCCCACTGCTGTCAGCCAGGTCTGCTTATTTTGTAAGAGGCTGACTGGAAATGCAAAATGACACAAAGAAGATTCATACAGAAGAAAACACAGCAAACTGGGGCAGAGCTGTCCAGCACATGCTTAAATGAGCTAGTTGTTCACAGAATCCATGGGATGCTCAGTATCCCCTCCTAGATGAAGTGCTAATTTACCAAGAAAAATCTTGGTTCTGCTTTGATGATCTGAAATAGTTTTGTTTTCCTTTTTCTCATGGTGATGTTGGATAGTAACCCCACTATGTCCTGCTTATTTAACCCACGCTTATTGAATTCTGGATTGTCGTGAAACCTGGGTGTAGCTGTGCTAGGAAACCACAGTTTGTGAATCAAAAGCCACCCACAAAGAGGCGCCATCATTTGTTGCTGGTTAGGAACTCTGGATTGTTCAGCCATGGGTGGTTGTTCCATTTGAACCCCAAGCCATGGATTGTTTGTGTGTTGTTTTGCCAGGTTACAAAGGCAGGGGGCAGGAGTGCTCACAAAGGGGCCCAGGCTGCGCTACACGTTAGTGCTACAGTGCCACAAAGGCGTTTGGGAGACGGAAGGGAAGTGGGCCAAGGGGGTGGGAACAAAAAGGCCCAGGTATTGAGAATACAAATTATGGTTGGTTCAACCATCTGCTGGATAAATCTTGAACAGGGCCACAAACTGCAGTTCAAGTAGACTATAGTTTGTTATGTATGAACCTGGTCGGAGAGATTGCATCAAAATGGAAGGACCAACATACATATCTGCATACATAAGGGATACAGAGCATGGGCCTAACCCAGCCTGTGGGTACCCCAATCTTGTCTGCACCACCTCTTGAGGTCCCCCCTTTGAGGTCATTCCCACTTCAGAGATAATATGGGGCATTTCCCTTCTGGAGTGTGCGGCTGCAGAATTCCTGTTGCCTGCACAGCAGGACTGAGAGGCAACAGGGGTTGTTGTTGTTGTTGTTGTTGTTGTTATTAGAACATTTCTATGCCGCCCCTTGCCGAAGCCTCGGGGTGGCTTACAACACAATAAAATGCAATAAAATACAAAAATAACAATATAAAATTAAAATTAACAATATAAAATAAATAAAAGATATAAAAGAGGTTATAAAAGAAGTCGCCCTGGCCAGATAAATAAGCAAATATTGTTAACAATTAAAATGACGTTTAAATTAAAAGGTCTTCACCTGGCGCCAAAAAACAAATAACGACGGCGCCAGGCGGACCTCTCTGGGGAGCACATTCCATAGATTGGGCGCCACCACAGAGAAAGCCCTCCTCCGAGTACCCACCCTCCTTATATCATTCACAGAGAGTTCCTGGAGAAGGGCCTCTCCCACAGATCTCAAGGGGCAGTCAGGCATATATGGATGTAAGCGCTCCTTCAGGTAACCAGGACCCAAGCCGTTTAGGGCTTTATAGGTCATAACCAACACCTTGAATTGGACCCGGACTTCAATGGGAAGCCAGTGGAGCTGATGGAGGACTGGAGTCATGTGAACATAACGCCCAGTCCCCATCAGCAACCTGGCAGCTCGATTTTGCACCAATTGAAGTATCCGAACCGTCTTCAAGGGCAGCCCCACGTAAAGCGCGTTACAGAAGTCTGAGAACTCTCCACGCTCTGACCCCACATGGTTCAGATTTCCCATTGGTGATGCTTAACCATTGGGCAGCACAGTCATCTCTTGATGCCGCAGCGCTCGGAATCATTAGAAAGGACTGGATCCAAGGAAGCGTGTTATAATTAGGGTCAGTGTCACTGCACTGCGCAAAAAGGCCTATGCCAGCCTTCTCCAACCTGGTATCGTCCCGATGTGCTGGACTGCATCTTCCAGCATCCTCAGCCAGCATAACCCCTGACTGCGCTGGATGGGGATGCTAGGGATTCTAGTCAAGCATGGCCAAGTCTGGGGAGGATGAGGTGTAAGGAACCCCTTTCTCATTAACAGGCTGATCTTAGTCCCTCTTGCCGCTATGGTGGCCAAAGCAGACACCTGCCACCTGCCCTGCCCAGGCGTGCCAGAGGAGGCACCCAGCTTCCCCCCACGGCAGGGACATGAAGAGCGGACTCTGCCACCTTTTGTGCCCAGCCACTTACGTGGCACTCCTGGGCCACGCAAGGCCACCATCTTCCTGCTAAAACAGCAGTACGGACGGCCTGAGAAGCTTCTTTGGTACAGTCAGTGCGTGAAGGGATGGGTGGAGATGATTGGGTCGGTCCTGAACCCCTTTCTTTAGAGAAAGGCTCCCCCAATACAGTGCCTATGGGCCCCCTAATTTTTAGAAAACCCCCAATTTTTAATACATGTACATGGATTTCTGTGCAATGTAACAGCTTCTGGCTGTTATGTACTGGCCTCAACAGACAAGGACCAAATATCCAAGTAAATATCAATCTGAATGCAGTGTCTCTATGCCACCCAACCAAATTTCAAAAGCATTGCTAAGTCCTTGGTCTGTTGCATCATAAGAAGTGCAGGTTTCTCCTTCCAGTGCTGTAATATCAGTCTTTTAACTATCACAGATGGCCAAAAGAGTGCAGAGAATCCAGTTATGCTAACCATTGGTTAATTTCCACGAAGCAGGTAAATAATTTAAAAAATTGTTGACATGAATGAAAATTAAGGATTTTCCCAGCAATTATCAGTGATATATAACCTCTTCCCCCAAAGAAGCAACTACAGGATATCACCAAAACAAATGTTTGAAAGGCACATTAGCTGTATGGCGCCACTAGCCATTAGTGGAATTAGATAATCCCATTTTAAAGAAATGTTGCCATGCCCAGTAAACATGAAACAAGCCTTTTACAGAATGAGACCCAGACTGAAATCCACAGGAGTGACCTGCAGATGCCAAAGCAGCTGGGCTTCGTGGCGTGCCCGCCACAGTTTCTCGAATTCCCGAAGGATCCAATGGGTCCAAAAAGGGTGTAGAATCCCTGCTGCAAAAGTGGATGCCAGGGCAGTAGGAGAAATCTTGGGATTCAAAGACCTCCTTTGAAAATGGCTCAGAAACTGTACTTAGCCCTAAACAGGGATCTGGTCCTCAAACTGGGACTGGCTGATAGTCCATTTTCAGACCCATTTCAGAGTGCTTGACATTCATAGACTGCCTGGGGCCAGCATAAGCATTGACCTCCAGATGTTTTGGCCTACAACTCCCATCCGGCCTGGCCAGCATTGACAGTGGGGGATGATGGGAATTGTGGGCCTTGAGATGTTTTGGCTTACAGCTAGCCCATACTTGAATCCAAAGGAGCTTTTCCTCCTATCTGCACCTCCCCAGTGAGTATACTGGGAAACCCTTATCCAGGTGCTCCATTGAAGAAGGCCAAGTTCCAATAGAACAGTGAAACCAGCTGCCTAGAGAGGTGGTGGGCTCTTCCACACTGGAGGCATTCAAAGAGAAACTGGACAGCCCTCTGAGTGGGTGGTGTGACGAGGTGTCCTGCAACACAGGGGTTGGACCTGATGGCCTTCATGGCCCCTTCCAACTCTACTCTTCTATGATTCTTAGTTGGTTGTTCCTTCCACAAGGAAGTTCACTTGGCACCAGATTGTTTTCTCTTCAGGGCCTGGCAAAGACAGTTCCTTTCTCCCAGGTATTTTAGATACATTAGATGTTTATGTTCTTAGTATTAAACATGTTTTATTATTGTGTGAGCTGCTATGAGGACTTTTTGATGCAGGCTACATATTAAACAAACAAACATAAATCAAACATTCCTGGCTTTGAGTTAAAAAGGATGGCATATACATGTTTAAATTAAATTATTAAATTAAATTAACTTATTTTGATTAGGTATTTGTTTTCAGTTAGCTTGGGCTGCTTCAGGCCAATGTTGAATTTGTTCATTTTCAAAAATACCCATGGATTGATTGATTGATTGATTGATTGATTTTTGGAGGGGTGGGAGGTTCACATGGGTACATGTTCCACTTTATTTTCTTTCTTTCTTTATTTACATGTATCTATAGGCCACCTATAATTGCTGAAGCCTTTATAACATACTGGTGGTACTTTCTGCCTGTGAAAGTTAGCAATGTGGATACAATATTCTGGTGATTCTGTTGTTTTTATTTTAACTACTTGGAATTGTTGACATCTTGCTGGAAGTACTGAAATACCAGTGTGTATCCCTCTTCCCCACCCTTTGATTCTGTATTTGTGCTTAATAGCTAATGGGCGATTTCCAGAACTAAACCATTTGCAATGCTTGCCTTTCAGCTTGGTTTTGGGTCATTTCTTGGAATTATTGGATCAAATCTGATAGAAAATAAAAGGCAAATGGTAAGTTTAACAGCTGTAGAGTGACTGTCACAGAAAACGTCTTCGTGCTTGTTGTGTATTTCCTTTGGCTAGAAGCTGAAACCGGTGCCTCTCTTACCTTAGCTCAATGGGCAGAAAATAGCTTGGAACAACACTGACTTTTGGACTTGAAATAGTGATAGAATCAGACAGGTGCGGTCCTGAGTGGTGTAAGCCACCTGGTATGCCCATCTTCTTTATGACCTTGCAAAGTTTTGAGAACTTTGCACTCCTCTATATTTCTGGCGAGTGTCATATAATTGGACCCAAGCACATTGGAAGGAGCATGATCTTGCAAGCTCTCCAAAGCTAAGTCAGGCCGAGGTTGATCAATGTCTGGATGGAAAGCTGCCAGAGAATCTCATTTATGCAACCTTAAACTCCACGATGAAAGTTATGCAGAATAGCTCTTCTCCTCATCACCTGGCTGGCTTGCCACGAGGTTAGGCGCCCACTGTGCTAAGTGAAAATATTGCAAATGGCACTTGATTTAACCATGTCTATTTACTGCACTTAATCATAGCTTCAGAGCACATGCTCCATGTGTAGAAGTTCCCAGGTGAGATTCTCAACATCTCCAGTTGAAAAGAGCTGGTGACAGGTAACAGGAATGATTCCCCCCTCGTTGACCCGAGGTCCGAGACAGCCACCGTTGATGACAGTAGTGTCTCCAACCCTTGTGAGTTGGGCAGCACATTTGGAATGCTGAGTGTGTGTGTTTTGGGTGCTTTCACAAAATGGCTGTCATGGGAGGAGCTTCTTCAAGCCCTAAATGCCTGCCTTGATTGGGCGTAGCCTCCACAGAACATGTATTTTCCCAGGGTGAGGCTAAAAGAAAAATAGCTTGCCGAGGAACAAGCTGACAGTGGGCAAAACACAAAACCTTTCTTAAGAAAGGAAATAACAACCGAGAGGCAGGAGCCTGGCTAGTGCTGAGAGAGCCCCCCTTTGCAGAAAGCATTTCACAGGCACCAGAGCAGAAGCTCGGGGAGGGATCGGTGCCACTGAGCCGCTGCATATCCGTTTCACATGTTCGTGCCTGCGCCACCAAGTGCTATACAATGTGGGATATGAGCCGATCACCCGGCCTTCCCCGCGGTTGCATTTTTAAACGTTCCGAGCACGGCACAGGAATCGGGCCTCGCTCGTTGCCTGCACAGTCCCCGTGGGGCCTTGAAGTCGCTTCTCGGCAGTGCTGCAGTGCTTCACCCTGAGCGGGGCGAGCGGGGTTGCGTTGCAGCCGGCCGGCATGCCTCTCGTGTCCTCTTCTCAAGTGACCATGTGCGTTCAGCTTGACCTTTGCTCTGCTTCTTCAAAGCCCCGGTGCATTGAGGACCTAGCAACCCTATGCCATGGGGCAGAATATACTGGCCTGTGCAGTTCAAACTGCATTTGCTAGGATTCCTGGGAAATTACCAAGGAGTGTTTCCGTGAGCGGAAAAGTCACAACAGCGTCCCCTTGGCTGCCATCATGACTCTTCCTCCAGCCTCTTGTCTCGGGGGGGGGGGGGGTGTAGAGCATGTCCTTGATCATGTGGGGGTTTGGAAGAGTTCCCCAAAGGTGAAATATTTCAGAAGCTTCTGTCACTTAAAAAAAAATTCCATCAAAATGGGCCAATGGCTGCCGTTTCATTGGTCCCATTCTTACCCCACTTACTCTTACCCACCCCTCGTCTGGCCTGGCTCTTGTTCTTTCCCATACTCTCTTGGGGTTTGGGGTTGGTTGGTTTGCTCAGGAATGGTCACTTCAACAGGCAAGAGAACCTGGAAGCTGAGGCTGTGACAGTGACATATTCTGCACTATTGTTCAAAGACTTGTGCACAAGAGAATCTTCTCTGTTACCTTCAGTCCCAGATAACAACGGAAATTCCTTCAGGCTTCAAGCTTTGGCTGCTGGAGGAATCCCTCCTCCTCCTCCTCCTCCACCTCCTCGTTTTTCTTCTTCTTGTTCTTACACTGCATGTATATCTTCTTCCTCTTGTAAAAACACACAGTCTCTTTTCTTTTTCAGCATAAACATGCGCAGTATCTTCCGTGTTTCCAGCCTGCCTGTCCATCCCTTGTTGGTCTTCCCATTCCTCCTCATATTCTCCAGCTCTTTTCCATCGTCTTCCTGTGCGAGCAGTTGGCCAGTGTGGGGCCGCTGAGCGGGTCTTCCCCAGACGCTTGTGACAGCGCCTCTTAAAGGCAGTTCATGCAACCTTGCCCAGCAGAATTACTTGGCTGTGGTTCTCTTCGCTTGCGCTTTTACAAAAGATGGGAAGTGTGCATCCATTTTTCATGTGGGAGGAGAAATGGCAGGTTTCCAGGCTTGGAAGAGGGCTTCGACAACGCGGGCATGCAAAGACTGGACCCCCCCACCCCAAGACATATCATGAATTCCTGGGAATCTGTTGCGAGCCATTCCTGACTAAGTCAAGGGTGTTGTTTTGCCTTTGCCCGTAAGAACAGATGAAGCTGCTCCATCTAGCCCAGTATAGTCAACCCTGACTGGCAGCAGTGGCGCTCCAGGATTTTAGGCATTGCCCTGGAGAAGCTGAGACTGCATCTGGAAGCTTCTGCAGGCAAAGCGTGGGATTTACAGCTGAGCTGAGGGGGATTATAAGATAGGATTTCCAGACTCTTTCAGTCCAAAGGCCAAATTGAATCAGAGAGAAGGGCTTGGAAGCCACATTCCACTGGTGAGGGAAGCCAAATGCAAAGGAAGGGAACATAAGGGAGAGGGCCAAAATTACCAGCATATTTTAGCTTAACATTCTCACTGCTGGCAACTAAGGCTTCTCAACCTTTTAGGATTGGAGGGAATCCTACACAACAGCCTGGAAGGCGCAAAGTGACCGGTACTCTGGAGGAAATAGGTGTGGCTGAGATGCGCCATATGGCTGGATTTGGCCCTCAGGTGGGCCAGATTTGTCCATGGGCCTGAAGCTTGACCTCCCGCACTCCAGTCTGAAAGAACTTAGGAAATTGCTTTATACCAAGTTGGGCTGTTGGGTCATCTACTTCTGTGCTGTCTACACTGACTGGCAGCCACTGAACAAGGTCTCGCAAAACTTGACCAAATGTCAATGGCTTGTTCAGACAACAGGATAACACACATGGAAGGGCAGAATCTGGGTTGAGTGTGGGTTGTTATTGAAACATGCGTTATCCTGTTGTTTGAACCCAGCTAAGGTAACAGACTGTGGTGAACTACACACAGTTCACAACTCAACAGCAGACCATGGTTTCTCTTCATGGGTTGTTTGAGGTTAACAAGCCACGGCTTGTTACCTTGGCTGGGTTCAGACACTGTATAGCCCGTGGTTCAACAGCCATATAGTGAGGGTTGTGTTGAGTGAACCTAGCCTATGCTGCCTACAGCTGTAATCCTCCTGGTCCAGCTTGAATGGGCCAGAGAAGATGTGAGTCTAGCCCAATGTGATCTAGACCTTCAGACCTGGGGCCAGCAAATGCCTGACTGCTCCAGAGGGGAAAAGAAGAGAGCAGGTTCCCCTCAATCATCAAATTTGGGAGCAGCTCAGAACTGTCAGAGGCTCCCAGCTGGGTGCTTCCTCAGGAGCCTTGGTGCATCAGTTGACGCTTCAGTGGATCAGCCCCTTTGACACTCAGCCGGCCCCCATGTCCACCTACAAATTCTGCCCCACCCTGTAGAGGGAAGAGCCTAGAATCCAGCCTATGTCATCAACTGCCACAGATCAGGAGAAACCATCATGCGAATAAATCCAGACATCCACGTTGCCATAACATCCTGGTATCTTTCTGCCTGCTTTTAGTGGGCCTCAGCCGCTTTGGGGAGATGGGAGTCCAGTCTGGGCTGAACAGTGGGATACAAGTATCCGTCAAGATCTGGCCATTCAGCTCCTTCCCACCAAGAACCTTCTCCTGCACATTAGAATCTCATTTGTTCACAATATCCTTACGAACCAGACAGTACCCTGGTCTTGACTCATCTTGCTCCCCTTGGCCCCTTTTCCCTCATTTCACATCCTGTTTCTTAGCTGTTGCTTTGAAACGGTAAACTGTGACCTGTGGCAGAAAGAGGAAATATAGATATAATACACAAGTACCTTGGAGCCACGGGCATCCAGGTCCAACAGGCGGAACACCAGGGGTTTGGCAGCTCCGGGGGAAGTAGGCTGGTAGTTTTCCTCAGCGACCAGTTGGCCAGGCCGTGGGAGGCACGTCGGGATGCGCGTCTCGCTGCCATTCCGTTCCGTGTCACATTCTCGGTTGCGCTTCCAGAGTTCCGCTCTTCTGTCTTCTGTCATTGACTTTTGCAGCCATGGTGCATGGAAAACCCGAAATCCAGCAAATCCCTACCATCCCAGAATGCTGGGAGGGAAACTCTTCTGGATCAAAGGAAGCGTGTTTTTCCTAATGTGAAGAGCTCAAGGTTGTATCCATTCCCGATCGCAGCCTCCTCTTGCTTGTTCTCTCATCTCCTGCATGTCAGAGTGATGAGCAATGGGCAGCTGGTGGCAGAACCACATAAAAATGGATGGGAAAACATAAGCACGTCCTCCTGAAGAAGACCAAGGGTTATAACTGGGTAAAGGGTACCCCAAACATGTTTGGTTTCATGGAAACATAGCTCAGGATCCTGGGTTTGTTCCCCAGCGTGTTCACGTCAAAGGATTTGTTGGGAGCAGGGCTTGGGGGACACTGCCAGTCAGAAAGGAAGCCCTTCCTCAGCCTGCCGCCCTTCAGAGGCTTTAGACTGCAACTCTTGTAATCTGGGAATGGTGGGAATTGCAGTCCAGCCCTTCTGGAGGGCACCAGGTTGGGTTTGGATGGAGTGGGCCATATGAGGCTAAAACAATCTGATGGTTTACTATAAAGCAGCCTCCTATGTTCAATAAAGTAATTAGTGTGTGCTTGAGTTCTAAGAATAAAGTTGAGAAATGGCTATATAGCACATGTCATTGAAGAGAACCCTAAACAATGGCTCCTTGAGTGGATGTTAGCATATGTATTATATGCAGAAGCAGGTAAATGTATGCAGGTGTCTCTTTTTCCACAGCTGGTTGCTTCGATCGTGTTTATCAGTTTTGGGGTCATCGCAGCCTTCTGCTGCGCCATCGTGGACGGCGTGTTTGCTGCCAGGCACATAGTGAGTACGCGGGCCAAAGTGGGCTTGTGGATGCGTCTCCCCGTTCCTCAAACCTGTAATTAAGCCTGTCCGAATGTCATCGGGTACAAGGAGAGCAAAGTGCAGGATAAAGTATGCATCATGCAGTTTCTTGATATCCCAACTGACCATTTTTTACTCTTTTTAAAACAAGGTTCTAGCCCTCATGGTTGTAAGCATACAGTTGAAACATAGAAATAGAAACCTAGAAACAAAGCGAGACAGAAGGGACCTCCTGGGTCATAAAGTCTGACCCCCAGCTTTAGCTGACTCCGCCCATATAATCCTCAGCATGTGGTTATCCAGTCTCTCCTTCAACACCCTCACTGATGGGGCCTCCACCACCTCCCTGATACTTAGGACCCCATTCCATTTCCTAGGGGTCCCAAGTATCAGGAAGTACCTCCTGACATCCCACCTGAAGCCTGGTTCCTTGAGCCTTGCCCCATTTGAAAATATGTCATCATTGCATGCTGATATTTTGAAAGCAAGAGAGGTGACTGGGGACAATATCCAGTGGTATCATTCCACAAACTCAAACAGCACTAGCAGTGCTCCACTGAATCTTTCGATTGTACAACTGGTGGTACAAGCAGCTGTTTGCACACTGGCTTGCAGAAGCATAATGCACAACCACATTGGCAACCATACTTAAGCAGACGTAACTAGTTGAGTTCTTCCCTGGCACATAGCTCAGAATGTAGCTTCCACGGTTGCAAAACATTTGCGTTCATGGAATGAAATGGTTGGACACTGCCCTGAGTAAGGCCTAGTCTGCATGCACAGAATGGGCTCAGTTATTTCAGACCACAGATGTGTGTGCACACATCATTTGAAATGCTCCCCCATGCTAAAACAACAAATGCTGCCTGTAAAAAAAATAAAAAAATAGCACAGGAGAGTGAAAGGTGCTAGTCCAGCGGTCACCCTAGTTTTCAGCCTAGTTTGAAGGAAGTGTTGTTTGTTGTTGTTAGTGAGCATTTAAAAATATGATTCTCCTCATCTTTACACTCTTAAATGGTACAGTCTGTTTTACCAACTCATTCAGCTACAGACCTGAGACTTCCAGGGTATGACGTAGCTCCTTGTCTCTCTCCATGACAAGCAGACTTATAAATAGAAAATTAGGCAAAACGGGTTTTGTTTTGTTTGGAAATTGAGAGAAAGTTCTGCAGGCTTGGTCGGTTTGAATCATGCATGTGAGATGCAGACTTGTGCAGAACTGGATTGCCCGAGTGAACAATGTAATTATCATTATTATCATCAATCATTATCCTGCCCACAAGACTGTGGAAGTAGGACTCAAGCAGTAGGTCTTTCCATCCTTTCCTCCCAGTGTCTGGAAGCATCATCCTCGTGCATCTAAGTTGCTCTCAGCAGTGGCAGGGTGGGGAAGCAGAGTCTGTGCATGGATCCTGTACCTGCTCCAACGCTCCCCCCGCCCCACCCTTCATTTAGACCAGGCCATCCAAACCAGGAGAAAAGCACCGGAGGAGAGGGCTTCTCCCTTGCCTGGTGCATGCCAGTTCCCAACCTTGAGAAGGACTGGGCAACTGCCAGAGATTTCGCACTCTCCCTCCGTGCCACCTCCTCACCTTTGGGCTTGCCTGCTTCAGTGTTGGCTGGTTTTGGTGAGGATGGCCCGGCAGTCTTCCCTAGCAGTTGGGTGTGCCTTCTGCTTTCCCTGAGGATCAGAACTGCCCGCAGAGCGTGTGAGCCCGGGGTGGGCACCAGGCGGATCCGGACCTCCGGGCAGATCTCTGGGAGCCTGCAGCAGAATGACCAGCATTGCCGCCTCCCAGTGGCAGTGACAAGATCACTCCCCACTCTGCCCGCCACACCTAGGCTGCTGCTTTGAGAAAAGCCAGGAGCAGAAAAACGATGCGCTCCATCCGGTTCTGCTGCTGTGGATGAAGGCTCGGGCTCAGAATTCCTTGGCTCTGAGCGTAGGCCTTTTGCTCCAGGCTCCGGCTGGTGGATCGCAGGGCTCAGGTACGGAACCGGGTTGGTTCTGCAAGGCTGAAGTCTGCCAGGCTTACATCCCACCATGGCCCTTGCAAGGACCCCAAGGCCTGCCTCCTCTCCATTCTAACTTCACAGTGACTGGCCCAGCGTCAGCGGATGGGCTGCAGGGCTGAGCAGGGAATAAAGCAGGGATCCTGCAAGGCCCGCTCCAGCACTCTAAGCAACACCCCACATTGGCTTGGCAACTATCTCCATAACTTGTAGAAGGATGCAGCCTTGCAGGGCGGCCTATAAACACTTCCCATGAATAAATAGCAATCAGTCAATAAACAGTCATGATAATGACTCTCATATGATGATCATCCGCGTCTTCCAGAGGGGGAGACTGAGGCCATGGACACAGAGGTCTGCCCAACCCCACTGAGACTGGGGCTACGGTGAGATTTGGACTAGGGTTTCTTCAGTTCAACCTCTTAGATGTCAACCAAACCCTACCTTGCAGGGTTGTTGTGATACTAAAAGGTGATGATAAATACACACCACTCTTTGCTTCTTGGAGGAAGAAAGGAGATACCCGCAGTAAATTATCTTCAGCTGCAACAGGGTCTAAGCTGGTGACCTCCAAATGTTTTGCACAACAATCCCCACCATTTTTTGCTGGCTGGGACTTATGGGCATTGTAGTCCTGGTGGTAGCCCATGTAACTGCATGTATCTCACAGTTGATTCTGTCTCCCCACCAGCAAGAGACCCTTTAAGAAGAAGCACTTTCGAAAATGGAAGCATCTGCAAGAACAGCTTAAGACTATTTAGACAACAAGCACATTTTGTTGTCCAAACATGCCTTTTCCCAGCATGTCTCCTTCAAGCGTAAGAGGGATGCGTAACATGACTCATGCGAGCATCTGTCCAGCCCTGGGAGGGAAGTCTTCTTTGTGGGAATGTTCTTCTACCTGCTGTTCCATAACATGTCAAAACAGGCTGCCTTTTCTCCCCGTTCCCTTCACAGGATCTCAGGCCACTTTATGCAGGACGGTGCCACTACTTCTCCAAAAGCACAGCCCAGCCACAGGTGGGTGTTTGCGCAGGTGCAGCATGAGAGCACAGGCAGGCAGAGGCAGCATTGCGAGGAGTCAGAGATGAAGCCCTGGATCTCTGGGAGGCTCTTCCTGAAATAACGGTCCTGAGGATCGGTGTGTATCTGATCCCCGTGGATGAGCTGGCCTTTGGCTTCACCTCCTGCTTTCCCCTGGAATTCTTCTGCCCGCAGAGGGATTTTCTGGGGGACAGGCAGAGCCAAATGTCCTCCTCTCCCTTATCCATACATTTATGACTAGGGGAGTCCTTAGGAGACAGACAAAGAGATGGCAGGCTGGCTGGCTGACTTTAGAATGTATGTAAACCATGAAATGCAAACATTTGTCTTTTGTTGGATCCCTCTGTGCCCAAACCCCAGATCTTTTCCGTAGTAACCAAGCACCACCTCCAACCCCAGGAAATCTCTCTCTCCCCTGGATTGCAGCAACCAGCCTGCCCAGTCCTTCAGAAATCCAAAAAGCAAATGCATTTCTGGATTGTACCACTGCAGGAGACTGAGAGAGAGCAAAAGGCATCACATGCTCCCACGTAGGGATAAAAAAAATACTGTGTATTGCAAAGTAGATCTCAACAGGAAGTATCAGTATTGACCAGGATGGGCAATCTATGGCCTCCAAACTTTTTGGCCTACACCTCCCATCATCTTGTACCATCACCCATGCTCACTAGAATTGATGGGAAGTGTAGGTCAAAACACCTGGAGGCCCTGGGTTACTACTTTCCTTGACATGCTAGCTTTCAGTATGCAGGGATAATGTTGCATTTTGATTTATTTGGACAGAGGAGCAGTCTGAAGCAGTGTCAGAAACAGGGTTGACTGACGCATCTCCTAGGCTGGAGCAGTCTTGAATGGCTAGAATATGTGACATTCGCTTTGGACGATTGCCCCGAACCCCTAAAGCACCTTTTATCTGTTGCTCCACAGACAGTCTGCCCCACTCAGCACCGGAGCTCCTGTACACCCAAGATCAAAACCAACACATGCTTCTGCTGCGATTTATACAACTGCGGGAGGTGAGTGTTGAGCAGGGTGGGGGCCGAGGATGCAGTGCCTTCTCTGCTTCCAGCCAGCAGCAGGTCTAATCCTACTGTCAGTGCACATGATGGGATCATTTCAGGGTGGGATCCAAGCTGGACAGTAACTCCAGAGAACCAAGTCCAGGAGAGCAGGTTTCTGTGCGTTCAGCACGCAATCCCAGGCATGTTTCAGCATGAAGAAAAGTCCTCCAGCAACCAGCATTCCCCAGCCAGCCGACTGAGGAATGCTGGGAGTTGCAGATTTTGTGCTTTCGTTCATTTGTCGTGTCTGCTGTTCCCCCACCCAGTAGCGAAAGCTCTTTGGGTCGTTTGCAAAGGGCCATATGAAAAACATTGAACATGTGAAATATAAAATCAGTGGAAAACAGTTGAAAAGCAACAAGCAGCAAGATACCTGGGATAAAATGGCTGACCTTAAAATCCCACCTGTGCTGAGGCTGTCCCCCCGCCCCTCACAAGCCCCACAGCTCATGCCAGCCCAAGCTGCTAGGGCGACTGAGCAGGTCTGTGGGCCAGTGGGTTAGACCTTTGGCCAGAGCAGTCAGCCCCTCTTGTGGCGGGCTGGTGTGCAGGAAGAGAGAGGAGAGGGCAAACAGAAGGGCTGGGAGGAAGAGGTGGAGTGCCCTGCAAGGGAATGCAGCCTTCAGTGGAATAGTGTCTTCCCCTCCTTGCAGTACCCACTTACCTGGGAGTGAGCTCAATTCTACTCCAGTGGAACTTCCTGCAGGATTGTGGGGCTCCGTGGTTAAAGGCAGCCCCTTGGCCAGGCCACTTAATGGGCCAATGCTAGTCTTCCACTTCTGTTTCTTAACCTATCTTAGGACAACAGGCCTGCAAGGTAGGCCAACCTGAGAGATCACAGCTGCCTCCAGGCCCGCCGGTTTGCTTCGTGGCTGTGCGGGGGTTTGACACATGGTCTGCCTGACCCTCATCCCAGTCGGTCAGCCCTTCTCCAACCTGATGGACTAGACCTCAACTTGCATCATCCCCAGCAAGCAGGGCCCATTGCTGTGCTGGATGCAAGAGATGGGAGTTGTAGTACAACATATCTCGAGAAGACATGGGTTCAAATCCCCAGCCCATTGTGCCATGCTGGCAGGGGTGATGGGAGCTGTAGTCCACCCAGCTGCAGGAGGAACCAGACTGGGGACAAGTCCCAAAATGTACTTTGAACACTCGAAAGCACAACAGAAGCATTGCTATCCTGAAGCAACTTTCTTCACCCCGTTGCCCTCCAGCTGGGTCAGGATGCAGTTCCCCTGGGGAAGCAGCCAGTGCTGCAGAAAAATCCACATTTGTCTCCTCTGCCCATCCGCAAGCCACCTAGTCGGCAAAGGCCTTCCTGAATAGCCAGGCCTTCCTTCATTCCTTGCCACATCTTTTTCCTTCCTGCATACATGATCCCCTTTCACCTCTCCCTTTTATCTGCACAACAACCCTGCAAGGTTGAGAGTCAATAACCGACCCAAAGCTACCTTGTAAGATTCACAAACAGTAAGGAACAGGAGGTCAGGTCTCCCTGATCCCTATTTTACTGCACTTTTGGTAGTGGTTGCCATGGCACAAAAGACATCCAGGGAGCGAGGCAAGTGAGTCTTTTCCTTGAGGGAGCATCAAACCCCACGAGGGACAGTCCAGTGCGCGGTTCCCTCCTTGCATGCACCACATGACTTCTGCAACCCAAGATGTTGGGCGTCGGGGCGCCTCTTAATCCGCTGCTTTGGATTCAGCAGAGTGGAGATTTCCGGCGGCTACTATGAGTATATCGGCGTCAGCAGCTGCCAAGATATCATCCACCTTTACCATCTGCTCTGGTCGGCCACCATCCTCAACATCACGGGCTTGTTTCTGGGGATCATCACCGCAGCCATCCTGGGCAGCTTCAAGGATATGGTAAGAGCCCCCCCCCCGCCCCCCCGCCCACCTGCAGGCTGTCCACGTGGGAGAAAGCCGTGGCAGCCTGGACTCCGTCGCTTCTAGCTGAGTGGACGCGGTTTGGGTTCCCTGTGAGTACTCTTTCATCTTAAAAAAACCCACCTCCCAGCAAGCAGGAAAACCTGAACGTAGGGAGGCATCAGACTGTTAGTCTGACAACACACACAGAAAGGTGCTCTGTTCCTCTCCTCTCCAGCCTCTTTTGCCATGTTCCCTTCTCCTTTTCCCTTTCAGGTGCATAGAACACGCGTTCATCCGTTCCTCATTATTTCCACAGGTCCCCTCGCTTCCTGCTCTTAATTGCACAGTTGAAAGCGCCCGGCCTGCTGTTTCTTATTACTCAAGACCCCAGGTGACGTCCTACAATACGTATTATCACAGCACACCACACCTGCCACCGTATTCAGCATATGACTTCCAGGTATGTTTCGTCATGCGGCTGCAGGGTTTCTTTATTTTCAGGGTTAGCTCCATTTTTACAGGTTGCAATTGCCTTTCTTTTCTCCGTGGCCCATCTATGCTTGCCGGCATTTTGCTCTGATTTCTTGCACAGATGTTTAAAAAGAGCATCTGCCGCAGTACGTAAAGCTGATTTCCACTCAGTTTCAGTCTTTATACCAGGGGTGGGCTGCATGCAGTGGGTTGATGAAAGAGAAAGGGGGTCTAGGAAGAGCAGCCAAGGTTTTGCCAGCTTTGGGGTTTAGCCTCACCCATCACGAATGTACAGCTCTTGACAGGTTACCACCAAAGGACTGGGGATCTTGCACACAGGCAAAAAAGTTTCCTCATCTCCTCTTCTGGGTTTTTGTGCCTGATCCAGAAAGATCCTCTGGGTGGGAAGTAGTTGTCAGTAGCATGGAGCCCATGACTGGCCCCAGCTTCAGCTCTAGGTCTCTCCAGTTTAAAAACAAAAATCACATGCTGGGAGATGCATCTGTCTTAAGCTGGCCTTCCAGACACGTTGCAGTGCAACACCCATCATCTCAAGCCATAGGGCTAGCTGGAGGGTGGCAGCTGCACCCCACACGCTGCTCTCTGTCCTCTGGGCCCCATTGCACAGCAATGAAGATGTAGAAACATAGAAACAGAGTGAGTCAGAAGGGGTCTCCTGGGCCATCTAGTCTGACCCCTGGCTCCACTCACGACATGCATATTGTGTGCATGTACAGCCTGTCCTTGGACACCCTCACTGATGGGGCCTCAACCACCTCCTGTGGAAGTCCATTCCACACCCTCAGGGTCCTGACTGTCAGGAAGTGCTTCCTGGCATCCGAATTGAACCTTGGCTCCCTGAGCTTGGCTCCGTTGGAGCGCGTCCTGCCCTCGACTGCAGAGGAGAACAGGTCTCTACCCATCTCCATGTGACTGAATGGCTGAACCCTCTCAGCTCCTACAAGTTTGTCCTGGGCTCTCCAGATGAGGCTCCCCATGCTTAGAAAGTCCAGGAAGACAAATGCCACCTTCTCCTCGGCGTCCATAAAGGCTTCTCTCGCTTTCCTTTTCACCGCAGCATTCCAGTATGTTTCCAGCCTCGACACCGTCCGGCCTTTCGGATGACCCTCCTTCTCTCTCACCCTCGCCAAGCTACGTGTGGTCCCCCACCACCCCTCCCCGCTACTCGCCACCCTACTTCCCACCGTTTGAAAAGCCACCACCTTACACACCGTAGAAAGGGAAGGAAAGACCGCCACTGGGACGCCGGGTGACCCTCTCGTGCTAGAGAGCGGCAAAGACACTCCAATCCCTATAGCATACATAGAAACATAAAACAGGGGACCTCGTGACACTTTTTCCCAGTATCCTGGACAGCAAGCCAGAGAGATGGCAGTGAATCAAAAGCGAGGAACGCTGCATGGTGCATTGGTAGGTTGTGTTTTGTTGTGTACTGATTTGTGGACTTTCAGGGAAATTGTTTCTTCGAAGGCCAATTGTTGTGTTGCAAGAGCAGAACATACAGCGAGTGTGTCAGGCCCAGGGATGGAGCCAAACACCACAGCCTCATTTCCCAGCCCTTTTTCATTTTGCAGCTCTCCCCATTCTAAAGGACTAGAATGCCTGTCCTAGGATACAGTTAACCAGCACAGTTAAATATGCTGGCATTTCAGTTGTTTGCCCTCATTGTCATCCAACACTGGAATGCGGCCCCAGACAGAAAATGGCTTTTGACCCACAGGCTCAAAGAGGTTCCACCTCTGGCTTTGACTTTCCTGGAAGATGCTTCTAAGAGAATGTACATCGCACCCTTTGTGCTGTTTGACAAAGCTGCTGAGTTAAGTTAGATGCAAACAGTTGTGCTAATGTAGAGCAGGGGTGAGAGGCAGTGACCTGCCAGATGTTGTAGAACTACAGTTCCCATCAACACTTTTTGTTATGCTGACTGGAGCTAAATGAGTTGGAGGCCCACCCCTCAGTTGCTCAGCTCCAATTATAGAGAAAGAGCCAAAGAGCTTGAATGTATGGAATTCATTCTTTACCTCAGTGGAAGAGATGTTCTGTGACATGTAGAGCCTTAATTCTGCCCACTGAAAATGAGCCTTTGCGTGCAAATGAAGGAAGGAGCTCCTTATTCCAGATGGATGTATTTTATGCTGTGTCACTGAATGCCTTTGTAATGCTGCTATTTGCTGTGCGAATAGCTCTCTATTGACCCCATGTGGCAAATTTTTAGCATTGCAGTAGAATAAAAACAAGGGCTGCTTCATATGTAAAGCTTTTTCTGAACACATGTAGGGAAAATCTTACATATGTGCTGACCTTTATTCAATTATCCTGACTTTTAATATAACAAAAGGTACCAAGTGCCATCGCAGATACTTGATTCTTTTAAATGACAGAAAAGCCACACAGTTCTTTGAATATCTGATTCGTCTCTGCTGTGGAGGATTTTAAGGGCTGAGTGGGCCTTTTAAAGAGGCTTTTCTTAAGAAGTCCAGTTCCATGTTCAGCCTTTGGACACTTGCTGCTGCTGCTTCACTGAATTACCTTTTCCATTGGGCCCAGTCTGCACCGAATATGCTGGTGGATTTTCATCCTCTCTCCACTGCCAAAGTACCTAAAGCAGCATCACAGAGAGTTCATTCAGCCGTCAGTTGAAGAATACAGCTGAGTTTTCAGTTTTGCTGCTCTGGCCATTTGGAAAGCTGGCCTCTCTTGGAAGAGTACAGGGGTGAAAATGCCCAATGTGGTGCGTTGGCTGATTGGTCTCCACTGCTGCCGCACCAGGTCAAATACTCACCACGCCATCAGCCAATCCAGTCTCCTTCAACCCGGTGTCTTCCAGTTCCCATCGGACTTCAGTTCCCATCAGCCCTAGCCCATGGTCAGGAATGCTAGGAGTTGTAGACCAAAACTGGAGGGCACCAGGTTGAAGAAGACTTGGCTAACCCATTTCATGGGGTGTTCAGCTAGTAAAAGCATACATACTAGGGCAGCATACAAGCATTCCAAATTAAATAAATAAATAAATTAAATGGGAAAGATGTTTAAAGAAAACCAGGGGAAACTCTGCTATGTTACATAGAAACATAGAAACAGAGCGAGTCAGAAGGGATCTCCCGGGCCATCTAGTCTGACCTCCGGCCCCAGCCGGCTCCGCTCACGACGTGCCCATGACATGCCATGTTGTGTCATGGCACTTTTTTCGTGATTCTCTGAAATCCCGCTCTTGTCTGAAGCACCATAAATACCTTGGATTGTCCAACAGTGCTAGTCCGGCTTATCTTTAAGCCCAAATAGACGTGCTCTTCAAAAAGATTTCTTTCCAAGCAGTGCAGAATTGTACCTCTCTCCTTATATTAACTCAAAATTGGGCCACCTGTTCAGTGACATAACTATGCTGATCGGAGGATCCTTCTTGGACTCAGAGAGGCCAGAATCTAAAGCACAGTAAAGCGTTCAAGTGCGGCACAGTGGATGAAAACTAAGCCATCCTCACGAGGAGGCCCACTGAAATCAATGGGAGTCCTCTCAGTTTCAATGTGCTCCCTCTGTGATTTCCCTTGGCTTCAGCCTGCTCCGTTCTGTAATGGATCCTAGCCGGATACTCGGGCGCCATGACTGGCCCTGCCATGGGCTGGCCCACTCCCCCTGTGTGGGGGGTTGCAGGCTCCCCTGCCAGCGAATGTTCCAGTCCAGCCAAAACGGGCGTAGCCTCTCGGGGGCTCAGAAGCCCCTCAGTTCAGCTGCTTACATGCATCCTGTGTGCAGAGGAGGTGCAGCAGCCTTTTACCTGAACAGGTGCTTTCAGCCACTGGATGGAGCACCCAGGAGCAGGAGGGAAGGCATGTAGCCTGCCAGCACCACCTCCTCCCCCACCCTGGCCCCTTTCCACAACCCGGAGAGGCAGCCAGCAGAGTCCTCTCCGTACCAGCTGCGAGGGATGCGGTCCAAGGGCTCAGCCGCCAGAGTCCCAGCCGCGAGGGTGCAGGACCGTGGAGTGGAGCACCTCAGAAAGGCCAGGATGCCGTACGATCGCAACCCTGCAGTGCAACCCACTGAAGCTGGGCTCCCTTCGACTTTCTGTAGGTTCCACCCTGTTTGGTCTTCCACTATTTGGATCAGAGCCAGTCTGAGGCAGGGAGGGGATGGTGGCATGTGTATTTGGCATGCAGAAAGCCCCAGGTTTAACCCCTGGTGTGCCAAGGTAAGCAGATCAGAGGGCATTAGATGATAGAACCTGCCTGGGACCTTAGAAGACTTATAATGCATGCAGGCCAGATGGACGAACAGCCTGATGTGATCTCAGCCAGCTTCCTCTGGCCATAACCGGGCCGGCAGCTCGCAGCATGGCCAGCAAGCATGGATCATTTCCTCCAGTCTTACACAGCAACCTCCTTGGGTAAAGCCTCAGAAGTAAATCATAAGAAGTCCAGAGCAGAGGTCTTAAAGGCCTCTTCATAGCCTGTATCTTCTCTCCAGAGGTGTGCCATGCAGTCGTTACCTGAAATGATGCTAAGGCACAGGATGCCTCAAAACCAGGCACGGGAAGGCATGCGTGCAGCTATTTTTCAAAACTTTGTTCATCAGTCCTTTGATAAAAACAGGCACAATTCACCAGAATGCTACCCCACTGAGATGGCAAAAATGTCTTGGCACCTCTCTCACTCACACCCATGGGATTTTACAAGATTGTTCAGGATTTCAATTTGAAAGCAAGAATGCAAAGCAAATTCACCCATCCTTCAGAAGACCTTTTCTCAGAAAATCCAAGGACAATGTTTGTTTGTTTTTTGTTGCTGCTGCTGCTGGCTTAGCCTCTGTGGTGATTTGTCATGAATTGTGTTAACCTCTTTTGTAGAGCATTCATCACTGTGGCCATCTGTAAAAATATTAAAAGATGTTGTATTACAGAGATGAGCTCTATCGAACTTCAGCATCAGCGAGTGCCAAAGACATTGTGCAGATAGAATGGCTGAGTAATAGCATCTTGGCTGAACACAAGAGAACCATTTTTACAGAAAGGAAGCCACAATGCTTCCACATGCAAACAATTTTTCTTTGGGCTTTAGTAGAAATAGATGTATCCAAAAAGAAATGTGAATTACATTACATGCACTGTAATCCACCTTTAAATCCATTTCACATAAGACTGTAATATGTACATGACTCATGTACCCTTTGGATATAAAAATCAAAATAAAAGCAATGAGGGTTTGTTGTATTTTACTATTTTGACGGGGTCGACCAATTCCTGAATTCTTATTTGACCAGTGCAAAAGGCTGCATAGTGATACAGGGTTAGAACCAGATTTAAACCAGGCTTGAGAAGAGACTCACATGAATCAGAAGAGCAAATCAAGTGTCACTGGCTCCAGTGGTCACTCGAGGTATGGACTAAATTTGGCTCCAACCCTACTTCCACCCATGAACAAGAAAAGGACTTGTTCTCATCTGAGTGGCAAAAGAAAGACATCTGCATACAAAAGCACAACTGTGCATAATTCTGCATCTGAACATAGCTGCGCTTTGTACTTGAAAAGTTTTCAAAGTACTTGAAAACATTTTCAGGTACGGGGTTTATGATGTAAGTGAGCTGGAGGAGAAAGCAATGGGAGGATGGCTGCAAAGGGAAGGGGCAAACCAAACCGCTTTGATTCTGGACCCTGCTCAGGAAACAAGCGAACAACATTCCAACTGCTGCTCGTTTTCACAAAGGGCAGCGACAGAACCATAGTGTTCAGTGCAGCACATGTTTCTCACACAGGTTCTTGGGTTGTTTCCTGGCACTTCCAGTCAAACAGGAGGAGGATAAAATTAAGGTGATGAGAGAACCTTGGCTTGAGCCACTGCTGGTCTGAGTAGCTGAAACTGGGCTAAAGGGAGAAATAAACAGACTCCATGTATAAGACGGCTTTCTGCATTCCTAAAACACAGTCTGTGTTAGAAGAGATAGAGCAGGTAGGCCTGGCTCCCAAAGTTTTACTTTACTATTTCTGCAAGCAGATCAAGTAAAAAGAAATGGGCATTGTTACCCTTGAATAAGGATGGACTTGCTGGTGAAAGAGGCCAGCCAGTCCCTGCAAAGTTCCACATGTGTGAACTTCTGACTTCCCAAAAGCTCTCTTCTACCTGTGACCACTTGACCATGAAGGCTCTTCAGAAATGAGGCTTGCAAGCAGACCTTAATAATGCTCGGCTGACTCCAACTGGTCTGCTGAACTTGGAAGATGAACCCTGAGTTTCTTTGATCTCTCGTTTCCACATTTCACAGATTATCAGAAATGCCTACATAACCAGATCACACTGCACCTCCCAAAGGATAGGGTAGAGCAGGAAAATGTGCCCAAAAAGGCGACCAATGGAGATGAATCTGGGGTTTTTCAGCTTGCAAATAAGGGAGGTCATGGCAGAATCATGGTGTGGAGAAAGTGACTAGTGGGGCCTGGAACCATCCTTTGGTAGAAGCCTCAGTACAGACAGAAGAAAGTACTTCTTCATAGAGTGTAGACTCTGGGATTTGATAGCACAACTTAGATGACTTTAAACAATTGACAATTGCAAGGAGAACAGGGCTATCGATGGCTACGTTCTGTATTATTTCCAGTATCAGAAGCAGGACCCTCTGTCTGCTAGGCACTGAGAAGCCCACAGAGTCTTGTTGCACTCAAATCCTGCTCTGCTTCTGGGTTTCCAGGGAGCATCTGGTTGACCAGTGGGAACAGAAGGCTGGACAAGATGAACCTTGGTCTGCTCAAGCATGCGCTTTTAGGTTCATATGGCAGCCAGGCGACTTCCAGTCAACCTCCATAACATGCTTGTGTTTCTAGGATGACTTTCAGTTCATGTAGGCCTAGCCAGGGGCTTGCATGAACCTGAGAATGCAATCCATGCTCTGCAAAACAGAGAGGATCCTCGGCAAATGTTCTGGAGTTCTTCAGGAAAGAAGCTGACTTGGAAAGGATTTTGGAAACCAGTAATCTATGCAAATGAAGAACTAGAAGGATGTTGGCTGAGTTAACATCCTTTTGGCCCCAGATCAACACAGATGTGTGTATTAAAGAAGCCTTCTACAGGCCCAACTGATAATCATCTCTTTGCATCACAATGCTTCTCAGGGCCCCAGTAGGCACGCATTGCTAACTGGGGGGATCAGTTGTTACAAGCAAGGAATCACTTGCACTGGTAAAGCCAGCCTAGAATTCCTGTAAGACAACTAGAAACACAATTAGTCCTTAACAGAAATACAGAAAGGAAGGTAAATGGTGTTTGTATACTGGGACACTGGACCTGTAAATAATCATGCAGGTTTCATCCTCTGCAACTGATAAATGCAGGGTACGTGAACTTAGAAGAATCCAACCCTGTCTTTTCCGAAGAGGGGTGCAAAAGAAAGAAAAAATCAGCTCCCCAGAAGCAGGTTCCAAACAACAAAATCCATTGTTTGTTTGTTTGTCTTCAAAAATAACTGGTTTGCACCTTGGTAGAATTAAAAGCTTTTATTTTTGCCATACAAAGCTCTAAGAACTAAAGGTCAAGTATTGGTTAATGAAAAACAAAACAGAATTCCCAAAAAGTTAAGGAAAAGGCTGTACAAATTATATGCATTACAGTACTGTATAGATTTTTTAAAAAGAAGACAAGAATAACAAAAACCAACAAAAACCAGTATGAAATAAACCTCTGCCCCCATTTGCATTTTTAAAAAATGTTTCATGTTTTAGTAGGAAATAAATAAGCCATGTTTTGATTTTTTTCTTTTACCTGCTCTGCTCGTATACTGGAATGCTGTGATATGAATTCTAAAAAGACATCATTAAAGAGGGCTTGCATTTCCTTCCAAGTCACACTGACCAGGAATTAAAAGGTGTTTATACAAATCACAGAAAAGGAGGTACCACAATTCGAGACCTGACCACTTCAGCCTGCAGGCCACAGTTGATGATGCTCCTAGGTGCACAAAGCTCCTGACTGCAGAAAATCAGCACAAACAAGGCATACCTCATCCTTCTACCAACTCACACACGCAACTTAAGGTAGGTTAGTGGTCAGTGACCAGGTCAAAGTCATCCACAACCTAGAACCTGGCTCGCCTTCATTCACGCCCCCATATCTCTCTCTCTCTCTCTCTCTCTCTCTCTCTCTCTCTCTCTCTCTCTCTCTCTCTCTCTCTCTCTCTCTAATATTTGGAAAGCAATCAAAAATATCAGTGCAGTTTGAAGTGGTACTTCCAGAATGGTGACACCTCATTCAAGCAAGGTGAAACAAAATGAGCACAGCTAAACATTCTTGGAAGAAGTTCAGCCAAAAGACACTTACTTCCAAGCAGTGTGTGCTTGGAACCACCATCTCAGGACACTGTTACCACCATTATTTTAGGCTTCCCATGGGATTTCTGCTAGATTCTGCAAATTAGTAGTTATCTCTTTTGTATAAATGTATTTTTAGGTTACAGTAGCATACGTAAATCCCTTTCTTCCTGGAACCAACATCTTAATATTTACAGAATGGTGAGCAATGAGTCTGGAAGCTAAATTTAACAAGAACAAAAAAGGGCCCATAAAAAGTCACAGCCAAACGCTTACTATAGAAACATTATGGTGTCATTTAAAAAGGTAAGTTATGGAAAGGGTCCAGAAGATTTCCAAACCCATAAATATTGAAAGCAAAGGATTTCAAAAATATAAACACACTTTATAAGAGCTCTCAACTTTGTCCAGAGAAAAGCAGGGAAGCTGAGAAGTGTGCATATACACATCTTCAAGAAAAAACACACAGTTTTGAACTCTGGTCTTCCAGTTTTCCTTTACATTTAGTCAAAACTGAAATAAAAGACAACTTCAATAGGCACTGATTTTAAGTTTTAAAAGGCTCAGTAGATACTATGGATAATCTGAACTTTTCTGGAAGGACAGCAAGTTTAATTCCAGGTTTCACATCTGCTGTAGAGTGCACCAACTCGCCTTTCAATGAGTAGCCAGCAGTATTTCAATTAGCACAAAGCAAGTTCCGCTGCCATGGACAACCAATGTTGTTTTCTTTAAGAGAGGTCTTGTTAGCCCGCAAAATCTCAGTGAGATTCAAAACTGCTTGGAACACTACCGCACTGCCTTCTGCATCAGATGGCATGCACAACCTTCAACTAATAATGAATGCAAACAAGAATCAAGCAAAAAAATCATTAATCACTAATTTAAATAGGAAGTGCCAATTTAAAAAAAAAAAGATTTACAAAACTTTTTTTTTTGGTTAAACTCCACCCATGAACAAGTGTTTTCTCAGCCTTGAGAACAAAAGAGCCGCATTTACACTTAAACACAATCACTTTTTTCCCTTTCTCAGGACTACCATCTGCCAAGTTCCAATTCCCATTAATAATGACTTGTTTCCTTTCAATAATTTATTCTATCACAAACGTTCATTTTCTAGCCAGAAGAGCAGTGCTTTTTTTTAACCAAAACACTGAAGATTAAGGTATAGGAATGATTGCTTTGCACATGAAATAAAATTTTATTTCAGAAAATGTGGAAGAGAAGCAAAATCGCTAAAATAGTAAAAAGGAGAGATTTTTTAAGGACACGCCACCTGATCTCTAGCTATTCATCACAATCCTTTTCAGTCTTCTATAAAAGGTCCTTTCCCACCCTCCCAAGCCCAGCCATCCCATACTATAACTTACACAATTTGACACATTCAGCCTAAAGCAATAGACTACATGACTGCTGACCAGTTTGCCTTCAGGACAAATATTTCTTGCTCAAGTTGGAGTTCTGCTATTTCCCAAGTACATAAAAAGTGTGCACCAATTTGCAAGGAGGAAAGGAGCACTGTTAAAAGAAAACGAAAACAAACCTGAGGCTTGATGCAGCTGTGCCACAAAGCCTGTATGAAGACTTCTGGACGGCCTACTTTGATCCTCTGAAAACTGTAAATCAGCTCAGTGACGGAGCCGAGAAGGACATCTGCAGTGTAGCTTTGGACGGCAGCTTCTGCCCCACTTCAGTCATATAACATTTAAAATTATATTTGTCACAGTATTTACCCTTAATGAACAAACGGGAAAAACAGCAACTGAATCCAAACCATCTACACACTTTGAGCAGTCACAGGATCCAACATAATTCCTTGGAATTAGAAAAACTGGAGACAGAATATTCCTCTTCAGTGTCACCTGGCACTTAGATTGACAAAGCCCCTTCAATATCAAAGGAAAAAAAATACAATGGTCCAGCCACTGGATAATTTTAATTACCAAATATAAATACAATTTGTTCTGTTTCCCCTCAGACAGAGGATTTTTCTCCTCCAAAATGGCAAGCCTGTAGGATGAGCATTTTTGTGACAATACAATGGTTAGTTTGGAACAGAAGAATGGAACCAGGATAACACTTCAAAAATAACTTGATTTACAGACAAAATGATTGGACCTTACAGCACTGTGCTATCCACTAATTTAAAGGAGTGCATTGATTTCTGACTTAAAAACAGCTAAGGTATACCCCAAAACCTATCCTGACGGCCTTTTTGCATTAACAATGGAACCATTTTCAGCATTAAAGTGCTAACAGGAAAGAAAGCATTACAGAGCAAGTGGTTCATGGGACAAGAAATTCTCCCATTACTCTACATGTTATGTGGAACATTGCCCATTACTGTAAAGGAACAACACCTTTTTGAACAATAGCTTGCCAGATTTCGATCCAGACTAATGAACCAAGCACATTTAACACCTAACTACCTGACGGAGCAATCCTATGAAGGTTTAGACTGAAAAAAAGACTTCCAATTCCCAGCCCCAAGAAGTGATGCTGACTGGGGCATGCTGGGAGTTGTAGGCCTGTCTATCTAAACTCACAAAGGACTGTACCCTAAATGCCTTTTTTCTGTATTCAAGTAAAGTTATTTTCCTGCTCCATTTTCTTTCACAAGATCACTCAAAGATTACAAGTATTCTAATCTTCAAATACTATCCTTTGCTGGCTAGGTAAAAGCACATTTTTTATATAACACAAGATGTTCTACAACTTTTTGAGCAGTCCCATTTCAAAAACGTTTTGATTTTTCTTTATGTAAAATGAAACATTCCCATCAGAAGTAACTTCAGTAGGATTCTGGTATCACAAATTCAAATTCAGTACTACCGTCAGATGGGTTTTGTTTAAAAAGTGATTCATTTCCCTGTGGAACAAAGATATCATCCCAGGTCATTGGTTTAGCTGGAGGGTTAGGGGCTGGTTCTTGAGAGACATCTTTGACAACTGAACCCACTGGATAAACAAGAGCATTGTCATTGACCATCGGTATATTGCTTGAGCCGCCTGAAATATAGGCATAATTTCTGATCTGCAAGGACCTACAAGGATGCAAACGATATAGCTTGGATTCTCCAGAAGGATCCTGGCTATGAACAGACCTTATGTGTGTAGCCATGACCTGATAGTTGATGAAACACTGACCACACGCCAAGCACTGGTACCGTCGCTCCCCAGTGTGATGTATTTCGTGCTTGGTCCGGTATTCTGCGAGTGGGAAAACTTTCTCACAATAGCGACACGGATACTTCTTCTCCCAGGAATGGACGTTAAAGTGTCTTCGCAAACTCGTAAGACAAACATATGACCTCCTGCATACAATGCAGATGTAATAAACTTTCCCATCCATTATCAGCTCATAGTGATCATCGTGCTTCACTTTCAGGCGCTTTCTGTTCGCAGGATCATCCCCTGAAGTTCTGGGCAGATCATCCAGCCGGACTTCTCCATCAGTCTCATCTTTCACCGGGATGACAATGTCATAGGTATCTTCACCGATATTTGCATAAACTTTGCAGCCAGTTGACAAGCCTTCTATCTCAGTCGCTGTATCTAAAGTGATGGTCTTCTGGCCTTCCGTGATGTGCTTTGGTGCAACGCCGGCTGCAGCGTCCTTGTTGCTTCCAGGAAGAACATCCGAGGTCTTCATTTTGAAGTCAGCTGGCTGGGGGACTGGCTCTTGTGGAAAGCTAGCCCCTTGCTTCTTCTGTCCTCCCGGGGCATCAGTTGCAGCAGCGGGCTTGGGGGTGGTGGGCTGCTGGACAAGGGAGCTGCTGCTGGCCGACCCCGGGCTGGATGATCCAAGGATGTCATCATCGTCTTCCACATCTTCCTCCTCCTCCTCCTCATCATCAATGGCATTCGTTTCCATGTCAGTTAGGGAATCATTATTAGACGGCTGCTGATTCTCTTCAGGGATGGGAGACACTTCTATTTCATGCGAGGAGCCAACATCTGGTGAAGGACTGATCTGTGCTGGATTTAACATCAGGACATCAGGAGTTGCAGGCTTTGGCGCAGAGGGGGGAGGTGGGTCGGCAGGCACTTGACTTTCATCTGGATTTGCCGGAGCAGTAGACACCTCAAGCCTTGGAGCTGCTGCTGGAGCTGGCTGGGGCGGAGAGCTGGTGCTGATACAGTTTGTTTGGTCAGAGGCCCCTGCAGGATTTGGGCAAGGCTGGCTCTGAGTCCCCACTTTAGTCTCCGCAGAGCGGTCTTTTGGAGGTACCAGCTCTGAGCAGAAGATGACGTCATCATCGTCGTCGTCGTCGTCGTCGTCGTCAGAATCACTAATGGTGATCTTTGTGGCATCACACTGCTCCCCGTAGAATGAAAACAATTCGGTTATAAGAGGCTGCCCAGTAGCGGGAGTTTGGCCCCCTGGCTGCGCAGGAGGCTCTTGTGTTTCGAGGCCATTTGCCCCCAGGTTGGGCTGCTCTGAAGAGTCAGCCTTTGCACCACCAGACATGCTCTTCACCTGCTGCAGGGGCACACCGAGATCTGCAAGGAACTTAACTCCCAGCAATTGCCCTGATTTAATTAATTCGTCAAGCAAATCTGCTCTCACTCGGACTATCTTGGAGCTGTAGATGTAGTTGAGGATTTCTGCAAAGACCTCGGCTCTTATAAAGCTCAGCTCGACCACTTGCCCTGCCACTGAGAAGAGCTGGTGAAAGTAAGTGCTTGAGGCTGACAGGACGTTTCTGTGAGCTCGAAATTTTCGGTCTTCCACAATGACGGTAACATCACAAAAAAGACCGTGGCCACGCTGTTCATCCAACGCTTTTAACAGCATACCAGAGTACTGGTTGTCAGTGGCTGTAATTAGCTTTCTGGTCTCCATTCCTATAATGAGAAAGAAGTGTGTTCATTTTTTATTTTTATTTTTTGGTCTACTATGGAAGTGCTTATCTTGAACTAGAATGAATGCTTTAAACTTGGAATGTCAATAAACATAAAACTATTTCTGTATATGTTATCTTGCTTGAAAGCCATGGCAACTCTAAAAGGTCTTCAAAACTGAGAAATGCCTGAAGGATATTTTTCCTTAACCAGGACTAAGCATCCTACGTGAAAACCTAGTTCAACCAAAAAGGACTTGTTTCTGTATAAAATCCTTTAGGCCACATATACTACTGGGTAAAATTCCACATTTTTTAAAACAAAGTGGCTTCATTTTGTAACAATGTGTTTGAATTAAGCATCACCTTAGTGGCCACAGCTCCAGGTATTATCACATGTAAAACCTGTCTATGAACAATGAATATTTGAACCATATCAATTAATGTATGAATTACAAAATAGCATTTCCCCCCAAGCAAAGCCAGTTTTAAAATATTGGAGCATACCAGTTGACCAAAAGCATTTCTGAAATATATCAAAGCAAGCAATTTTTAGTGAACCTTTTTTCCTACAAGTATTCTCAGCAAAATTATATGCTTACATGGCAAAATCTGTGCAAATTCGTTTGGCTGAGAAAACTGATCAAAGATCAGTTTCTCACAATAAACATACATTTTATTCTCCTAAGAGGAAAGATAAATTCAGTTGTCAAAGAGAATGCAAACAGAGGCATTTCAACAGAGGTGTCCGAAGGAAAGTGATTACAAGTCTGTAATATGTCAGGCTGCTAGTCTGTCTTGTACCCTTCAGCATGGTATGAAAAGAACATTTCAGCAGGCACCCCGACTCCCAGAATTGCAGCATTATAGTGAAGTAAGTGGCATCTGTCACAATGCCCCTTGATTTTATTTAAAGGCATAAGATCCTGGTTTCCTATTGGCAAACCTAGAGCAAAAATGTCCTCCTTGAGCAGCCAGGGCGACTTATTTTATATTGTTAATTTGTTGTATATTTGGATGTATTATATTTTATGTTGTGAGCTGCCCTGAGGCTTCGGCGAATGGGGCGGCATAGAAACGTTTCAAATAAATACATAAATAAATAAAATCAAAAAAAGAGAAGGTGGGACTAGTAAAACAGGAAATGCAATACTTGTAGACCCTGCAGATTGGGAAGAGAGATTGATGAAGTAAGACCTCTACAGATGAACCTGCTACCTAAGGAGACCGAAGACAGACTAGGCAGCAGGAGAGCAGAAGCGAGCAGGTAATATTCTGAAGGCATGCGAACACTCACTCTTTGGCTCGGCATAGTGGTTAAGACTGTGTGGCTGGCACAGGAGCCCTGAGTCCCAGTCCCCACTCAGTCATGGAACCCACTGCGTGACTTTGGGCCTATCCGCCTAACCCACCTCACAAAGCTGCTGTTGTGCAGATAAAATGGAAATGAAGGAGAACCTTGTCCTTGGGCTCCTTAGAAGAAGAAGAAAAAGAGCAGGATGTAGTAAGAATAAAGCAAGCTCAGTCACCTGGGAAATGTGCCCCGGAACAGCTCTTGGCCATCCTAGGCTGCCCTGTAAGCAGGATCATCAGTTTACAGTTGCTGCTGCCCGGAAGGAGTGAAGAAGCCAAGTGTGTGTTTGAGACCCTACAAAAACCCACCCGATGTCTTCTGGATGTATTAGACTGCAGTTCCCATTCTTATCAGCCCATAAGGTCCTTGGCTGAAATGAAGGATGCCAAGGTGAGACGGGCTGCCCCACCCAGTCTCACCACAACCTTGCTATTGCCTGGCAATCAAACCAGTTTGGACAGGCCCCACCTAGAAAAAGTGGTACCAGGAGACAGGCTTCCTGCCTGCTAAGAGGTGAGCTTCTGAGGTAGCCTAGAAATAAAGATTTGTATTGCCAGCCCTGCAACCACCCCAAAGGAACTACTAAAGAGGCACATTGTCTGGAAGATGCTGCTTGTTTTCTAAGTTTGCATTATTATTTTATTTATTTATTAAAACATTTTTATGCCGCCCCATTCGCCGAAGCCTCGGGGCGGCTTACATTATGTGGGTTTGCCTAACTGTTCCAATGAAGTTTGGCGAGAGTGATGCAGAACTAATGAGATCAGAGAACCTTTTAGAAAAGAAATAAGGTGTGGCCTGAAACTTAATATAGTTCTGTGGACTTTTCAAAAGTGCCACCACTCTTGAATCTTAGGGTGGAACAGAAATCAACATGAAAACAGGGGGAAAGCTTTACGGAGGGATCAGTATCTCATATATTGTAAAAACACAGGAGCCTACAAAGCAGATACCTGAGAGCAAATGGGTTGCCACTTTATTTTCTAAGCCCTGGTGCTTTTAAAAGCAGCCTGATACAATGACTGGTGCAGATCTGTTATCCTGCTCTGCTAACGCATGGCTTAACCAGCCTGGCAAGGAGCTATAACCCATGTGCTCACTCCGCATGTCTTCTCTCATCCTGTTGAAGTCTGGATTTGACACCTCTGTCTTACTGTTGCCTGAACTGGACCACAAATACGTAGCAACTGCAGCTTCGCCATCTTCGGCTACCATGGAGCTACAAAAGCAATGCAGCAGCAGCAGCAGCAGTAAAATCGTGCAGTAATGCTACGTGTGATGCCTGTGGAACATTTTTCTCAAACTGGAACCACCAGTTTTGTTTGGGAAAGAACAGCTTAGCAGAATGTCTTGGGAAATCTTGGCTTCCTTCTGATATGCCTATTGCACATGCTGCTCAGGTGTGGAGGAAAAGAGATGGAGGCATCGCTCTGGATGCAGCCCTTGGGCTGATTTTGTTGTTTATATGCAAAGGACTGAAATCTGAGGGAATCAACAAGATGGCCAATTAAACTGGGAGGCATTATGGGTGGATGCTGTTATGTATTAGATGGTTGAAAAGAAGCCTCAGAAGAGTGAGAAAGCAGAATGGAACAGAGGTCTCAGTTATGTGAAAAGGGAGGAAAGAAGAGCACCAGGAGGGGAGGCTGAGGGGAGGGGGGAGGGAAGGAAGGAAGGAAGGAAGGAAAGAAGCAGGAAAGTGGTGTGAGAAGGTGATGAAGAGACTGCGGAACAGTGAGAGGAAGCAGCAGTGACATTAGAGAGTGGGGAGCTGAATGAGGATGGAGAGAGAAGCAATGTAATTAGAGTGCGGGTATTGGAGAAGCAATCACACGGCACCTGAAAAGCAGTAAATCCAGAGGGGGTGAATGCTGATGGAGAGGCAGGAAGGTGAACCGACACTGAATTAAAGATGAGCAGGCAGCCTGGAACACAGGAAGGCAGCCGCCAGGTGGGCAAGAAAACAACTGGCAGCAGCCCCTGGCCAGCGCACTGACTGGCTTTGATGCACTGATTCCGGTCGGAGCATAGCTGGCTAGGAGATCCCTGGAGTTGTATTTGGAAGAACACAAGAACCACCCCAACCTGGCCCATCAAGTGCGGCATCCTGCACACGCAGTGGCCAGCTAGCTGCCCAGGGATCCCGCAAGCAGGCCGGGAGTGCAGCTGCGCCCTCCGGCCCCAGCTCCCCAGCAACCAGCATCTGTGCGCTGACCGGCTCCGCTGCTAGCCCAAGCTGTCTGGATGGCACCCAGCTGGAAGGCTGAGCTGCATCTCTTATCGGTGTCTGCCTCCCCCCGCTCACCTCCACCCCTTACCAAGGTCTTTTCCAGACCCTTCCTGGAGTTATCACGGACTGAAGCAAGGTCTTGTTGCTTATCAAACGGAGGGCTTTTTTCGACTGAGCAAAAGAAAACACGGGGGGGGGGGGGGGGATGCACACAAAAGGGGCAGTGAGAGAAGATCAGGTGGCCTCCTGGAGTGCAGGGCTACTCCAGCAGCTCCAGGGAAGAAGGGCTGGGAAAGATCTTAGTGAAAGCTGTGCGGGGAGGGGAGGGGGGAGGCGAGGCTGATAAGATGTGTACTCCGCCTTCCCCAACGCGGTGCCCTCCATCCAAGTGTGCTGCACTGGACTCCCTGCACCCTCTACCCAACCCTGCTTTAGCAGACAAGAATCCGCGCATCTGGACCGGGGGCTTCGCGTGTATCCGCAGAGTGGGTCGAGAAACGCTAGGAAGAGTAGGGCGCTTTTCCTGCGCTCAGCATGCCCAGATGTTACCCAAAATAAATTAACGAGCAGCGGGGTGACTGACTGGGCAGGATCGGGGGAAGAGGCTCCCCGCAGGATGGACCCCTCCGCCGCCGCCACCTCCCGGGCTGCTCCCGAGCTAATTCTGAAAGCCGGTGGGTGGGGCTGCTCCTGGGACGCCCTTTCCCCTCCGAAGAGGAGGCCAGGCGGGCAGCCGGCCAGACAAAAGTGGGAGCGCCGGCCCCGTTGCCAGGCTGCCGCGCCGAGCGCACCCGACGCCCCGTCCCCGCAGACGCGACGGGAGCCAAGGCGGCCCCGCGATACCTCGGCTCCTCGGCGGCCCGCCGCCGCGCTCCTTCCGCCGCTCGTCGAGGCCGGCGCCGCACACGCTCGCCGCCCGCCCGCCACCTCCGCCGCCTCTCCCATGCCATTCCGGGCGCGGCCGCCAGGGAGCGCTGCAGCGGCCGCCGGCGCGGCTGTCAGTCGCTTCCCTTCCCCGGATTGAGCGGAGCCGTCCGCGCTCGCCTCTTTCCGGAAGTACTCGGCTCCCCGTCGGCACTTTCCGGAGGAGGGGCGGAGACATGAAAGGCCTGAGCAGCAGCGTGCTCGGCCTTTGCCGGACGGCCCCGGAGACGGGCGAGAGCTGGGGGAGCGGCAGAGGGCGCCTCGGGGGTTTCCGGGCCGGGGCTCCGTCTCCCCCGCCCCTTCAATGGCGCCGGCAGCCGGAGAGGTTCCGCCAGGGAGGTACGGGCGAGCCGCCCACGTGGAGCAGACGCGCCGAACGCCTCGCCCGCTCGCCAGCCACGTGCGCCCGGGAGCCGGGAAGGCGAGGCCCTGGCCCTCCGCCTCCGCCTGAACGGGCGCTGCACGGCGCCCCAAGGCCGCCGTCCCGGGCGCGCGCCACCGGCGAGGAAGTCAGCACCGGGGCGGGCGGACGAACGGAGGGACCAGCAGCTCTCCTCCCGAAAATCAAGGCCTCTCAGATTGGCGGTGAAACGGGAATAGCTGGTCATTGAGTGAATTACAGTTCTGCACTACCGGGGAGCAAAACTGTAAGGCCCATCTATGTTCAGGCTAGCCCCCGGTGAACTACACAGGACTCCTCTGAAGTGGTCAGGTCGGGCCATATTTAGAGAGATGAAAACCCGGAAAGAAGAAATACGTGTCAGTCCTTTTATTTCTCCAGGGAGGAAAATATCTTGTACTGAGATGTACGGAGTTTTTCTGAGGTATTTTTGGCTTAGGTTGGGTTTTCGGGTTTTTTGTGCATTACTTTTGGCAACCTTTCACATCTCTAGCTCTATCCCCAAAAGTCAGTTCCAGTAAGTGTAATGGGGCACCCCTTACAATTCTACAACTGCACAGGATTAATCTGAAGAAGGTGGTCAAGCACATTCACATGCAGCAAACCGTAACAAAATATATTCTTTGTCTAAATAATACAATCCATATGTTTCTAGAGGCAACTGAAAAGACAACTTGGGTAGTTTGCCCTTTTGCAAGGTTAGAAATAACCTCCCACAAAGATAGCCTGCCCTACACAGCTGATTCCCCCTGTGCTGTTACTGAAGTTAAGGCTGCACTGAAAACCCCTGAGCTGCCTACAGGCAAGGAAAGTGAATTAGCAATGCAAATTATTCATTAGGCGTGAATCCCTTAGCATTTCAAAGTCGATTAACTGAAAGAAAAACACTGTTTAAAAAGCCCCAAATAGTGGTCTCTTTTTAAACAACTTAATCTGCTGTTACTTAATCTATTGTATTTTAATTCCTCAGTATATTGCTAGTGGTTAGCCAAAGAGTTAAATAATAATTAAAATACTAATGTACTTTTTTAGCCTGCAGTTAGCCCAGCCCTAAAGTTCAAATGCCCATTTTCTAGCATTCTATACTGGCTTCCAGGAGAACCTGAACTGGTGAGCACCTCTGAGAACAGATTCCTACTAGGATGTAAATACAGTCCTTCCAGGTTTGGATTAGGCTGTTCGTAACAGCAACTGCAGAGGTAATCATGGGGGGGGGGGGTGACCCTTCTGGTAGCTAAAAGACAGGCAGAAGGAACGTTGCTGTGTTCTTCCTCTATCTGGTCAAGTATTTCCACTATTCTTCCCTACCCACGTGTTTTCACTTATGACTTTGACAGTTTCAGTTCCTTGGAGAGAAATCGTGGCTGAGCTGCTTATTTCCAGCCTCTTTGTAACTCCATTGCTACTTGATATTAGAAACAAGTGGCTCTACCTGTTACTCTCACAGGGCAGTGCTACTTTATGAATATAATACTATCCAAGTAAGGTTTCAATCAAAGCTATCCTCAGGTTTTGATATTTAATCAAAATTTAAGATAAAGGAAAGCATTCTAGCAGTAATCTTCCCAAGCAAAATCTGAATCCTACCCATTTTAAATGTATTGGAATGAAACATATGAATTACTTTCCACAGATGTCCCAAAGGGGCCCTGAGTAACTCACAGAATCCAATCTACAAGTTTGAGAAACATCTTCAAATGGTGCATGTTATGTGCACTTAAACCAAAAACTATGAGATGTATCAGAATGGCGGAATTCACAAGACCATTTTGCAGACCTCAAACCTAGCAGTGCTCAGTTCTGAAAAGACAATGGTCCTTCTTTAAGTCAGAGGGGGAACCATTTTTGTGACTGTGTCAAATGTGGTTTGAGAAATGTCTGTTTAGTAGGAGTAGTGTGACAATGGAATTGTGGACTTTAACAAAAGCTACCATAAAAAGAAGCATTTGAAATGTAAATTTATCACAGGCTGTTATGAATCCTGTGGACTGACAGGGTGGCTCATGAAGCCGTATTAATGAGAACATAGAAAGAGCAAGAAAGTATAAAACACAAGCAATGCAGAAAACAATATTTTGGTCATATGTTGGGAAATGAAAAGTAGAGATTGTTGCAGCTGATGATACGAGGTCAAACAAACGGGGGAGGAAACACAGGAAGCAGAATCTTGGCTGAAAATCCAATACTTTGGGGGAAATGCAACATAATCGTTCAGAGCGATCTTATCTAAAAACTGTTTAGTCATGATGCTGTCTCAACTGCTGTAGGCGAGAAATGAGAAAGAGGTGTAACAAAACCTGAGATGGCCTTGCATGAAAAGAACGGATCTTCAGTCCACAAGAGGCTACTCTGAGGCACGGGACGTAACGGGAGGTCCCTCACTCTGCACCTTTCCAGCCCTACAGCCCAAAACGGGGCTACGAAGTCTGAACTCCACGGAAAAGGGACGCGCTCCGCATTCCTGCGAAGAGGCCCCACTTCGCTTTTCCCTTGACTCTAAGAGAGCGCCCCAAACTCTCTTCTCCTTTCTCCCATTGCCGGTGCGGCTCCTTAGCCACCCTGCAAGGGGCATGAGCGGCAGGGATGCTCTTACCTGGAGGCTTGGCTCCCGCCTCGGTCATGGCGCCAGGCTCCATCGTCTCTTAGGGGTTGCAGCCCATCCAAGCACAAAGGAACCGCCTCTGGGAACTATTCGGAGCCACCTTGCGGCAACACGGGCGCCATTATGAGCTGCACCCGGATGTGCCGGGTAAGTTTAGAGAGCTGAGCAAGACACTTGGCCCGTAGAAATTATAACTTTTTTCTTGTTATATAAGTCTCTCGCGAATAAAGGAGCAATCCCAGGCAAGTTTAGACGGACACAAAAAGCCCCACAACTTCAAGCTTGAGCATAATGGGAGCTGTTGGCCTCTTCTGATCTATACTTTGCCTGGGATTGTGCCCATAGAGATAGAAAAAATAGCGACGGGAGTCGAAGGATGAGACGCCGGAGCTAGCGGAGAACTTTGACAACCTAACCGGAAGTGCGGGACAGGGAAAGGAAAACAAACGGACATTGTTGTTTTGCAGTTTCAGAGCAGGCAACGGGTGACTCTCAAGGGAATTATAGTAACATTTCCAGTTCCTCATCTGACCTGACTGGAGCACTGGGTGGCAAAATAGAAGGGCAACATAGAGCTTTGCGTGTAGAGGCGCTCCCCATGATTCTGGCTCGACTATGATGACGCCTGAAACGGCCCCAAGGGAGGCTGTGCGTGCCTCTTCCTATTATCCTATATCTATGGGAATAATTACTGTTTTGAGGGAGGGGGAAACGGAGCCGGAAATGAGTCCTTAAGCCAGCCAGAAGCAACTCGGGAGGAAATGACGTGGCCTCGAGGGAGGCAGGGGCCCTGTTGTCGCCGCGGCCGCCTCGCCCGGAAGTGGCCGCCGTGGCCGTTGGAGCCCGGGCGGTTGCTAAGCGATGGCTCCGGTGTCTCGCTCGCGGAGCCCGGTGGAGTCTCCGTCCTCCCGGCGGGGGCGGGCCACCGGGTCGGCCAGCCCTTCTCCGCCCCGGCCCAGCCGGAGCAGGCGGTCCTCCTCGCGCTCGAGGTCTCGGTCCCGCGAGCGCGGCGGGCCCCGGCAGCGGCCTGGGCCCCCGCACTACGGTGGCCACCGATACGGGCCCGAGCATTACGGCAAGGAGCAAGAGGAGTCGCTGCGACAGAGGCGAGTGCGGGGCTCGGTCTGCTCGGCCTGGGCACTCGCCCTCTTTCTCGACGTTTAAGCCAGTCCTTCCCAGTCCGTTTCGGGTTATACCTCCTGTCGGCCCCGACCAGCGTGCCTGTTGGACAGGAATGCTAGGAACTGTAGTCCAAAAGATCTGCCGGGTTGGGAGAAGATGCTTTAAATATGCGGAAGTTTTTACTGTTGGAAAAAGCGAGTCTTTCAAATGGCAACCAGCCAGGCTGCAATTTGAAGCAGATTTGCTGTTGCAAAGCTAGTGTTTATAAAATCAGTGAGGGAGCTATGCAAATCAACATCCAGATTGTATCGGTTTTTCATAAAATTAATGAAGTGTGGCCATGCATTTTTGACATGGCTCAATTCTTCTCCCCATCCCCAAGTCTCTCAAGTACAAATACTGAAGTAGTTTAGCAGGTTTTGTCATTCTTAGTCTGACACTTGACTCAGACTCAGTATTCTTTCTCTTAAGTATTTGTGTTTGTTTCCAACTGTTATATCTCTGTAGCTGGAAGATTATTTCTGTGGTTGCAGAATAGTGAGGTATAGGATGTGATACATAAGAGTTAATTTGACTTGCATTGACTTCAGTTTCAGCCATTAAGTTCCATTGAATTCAGAGAAAATTACTACTGAGTAAACAAGCATAGCATTATTTTAATGGAATAAATCTCCCCAGTGTCTCTGGTTTTGTCCATTAATGCAAGTATCCCATACACTGAATTTGCTGTTGTGTGGATTTAGGTCTGCTTTAGGATAATGCAGAGGTGGGGGTGGAATTATTTCCATTGATCAGCAGAGTTCTGAATTGCCTGCAACGTCCACCTACCTGGACTCTCATAAGAACTCTGTAGTTTCTCTATAAAAGCATGAAAATGCTCACATTATTGACATCTACAGTGAACAAAATATATCTGTATACCTAGTTTCTCTCTATATATGCAAAATGTGTTCTACCTTTAAACTGATTTGTTTTTTATCTTTTACAGGCGATTAAATGAGAGAGAAAGAATAGGTGAATTAGGAGCACCGGAAGTCTGGGGATTGTCACCAAAAGTTCCTGACCCAGAGTAAATACAGTTTTTCTTAATTTTGTTTTCTATCCCTCTTTAGACTTCTTTGCTATAATAGTGATGGAAAATAAATTTTCTGTTCCACTTTCTTACATTTCTAAGTCCATATTTCCGACTCAAATTTGTGGAAGAGTAATACTGATGCAGATAAAATTGTACAATCCCCCCTTCCCAGTGCATTCAGTCCCTGATTCAAAAATATATATTTATGAAGCATAACATAATGACCAGCCAGAGCCCATCATGGAAATATATTTTATTGAAATGCCTGCTCCAAAAATCTGTCCGTTTTGGTGTGACCATGTGAAGTTAAACTTGCACATCTTGAGTGTCATTCCACTAAGATTGTGTTCTTCCTTTAAATGTAGTTCTGATGAACATACCCCTGCAGAAGATGAAGATGGGACATCTAAAAAGAGCAGCTCCTCTGATTCCAGTTCAGAAGGTATTCTGTGTTGATTAGATGTTTAAGTAAATCAACAGCCTCTGTGAAATCATCAGGTACTGGCAATCTGGTGCTGTCCGTATATTCTGGACTGCAGTTCCTACACATCACAAGCAACATCACTGATCAGAAATTATTGGACTTAGAGCCCAAAAGATCTGGAGGCTAGTAGGTTGCCTGCCATTTATGACATTGCAGATGGAATTGTCAAAGCATGTTCCATTAGAAAGAATTAATGTTGCCTGTTCTTGACTTCAGGACCATTGCTGTCAACAGCTGTAGACAGATTATTTGTAAATAATATTTTATCCCCCAAGTATTTACCTTGTCCTGCCCTACCCACTGTTGCTGTTGTTATTGCCTGCCTTTCTTCCTCTTGCAAGAAACACAAGACAAGTTACAAATTCTCTTCTCAAATTTTTCCTTTCTACAGTCATGCTCTGAGTTAGTTAGGCTGAGCGTTTGTGAGTGGCCCCAAGAAGCTAGATTTCTCAAGTCCTGGCCCAGCACCTTAACCACTGAACCACATCATACTGCAAAACCGCAGTTTTGCCCAGTAGGGTGCATGATGCTTCTGCTGTTCAGAGGCAGTAATGGGGTCTGTTTAAGACAGCTGTTACTACCATCAGGAGCTGGCAACGCAAAACAGAAATGCACTGAAGTGAACTGCTTGCCTTTATTTTGAAACATTTCCATTTCAACTTCATTTTCAGAGGAGGAAAAGAAAAAGAAGAAAAAGAAGAAGAGGAGAAAAGCTGCTTCACGTAAGTTTAATGTTCACAATCTGAAATTAACCTCATCCTTGTTTTGAAACGAAAGCAGAAATGGGATTGTTTTCCCATAGCTCACAGTTCACAGATCTGAGTGAGAGTTGTTTGTTCTCAAAGTTTCTGCTCTCAGGAGTTTGGACTAATTGGGAATCATCATGGGCACTAGGCCACAATGCTACTGGTTTAAACAACTTGTTTTGCACTAATACAAGGGGACTTCTAGAGCAATACTAATTGATTTAACTTGTGCAGTTAGATTCTCCAGAGCACCTGCCGTACAAGTGGATGTGCTAGATTGCAACTTCCACATTCCCAGCTACTATGGCCACATTGGCTGGAAATGATAGGCATTGCAATCCAGCACATCTGGAATGCACCAGGTTAGAGAAGGTTCTTGATCAATTATTAATTTATACCCTACTTTTTTCTTACAGTGAACTCAAACCAGCTGACATCATTCACTTCCTCCTCCTCTCACCCCTCCTCTCACTTCTCACAGTCCTGTGAGGTGGGTTGGGCTGAGAATCTGTGACTAGTACAAAGTCACCCAGTTGTCTCCATGGCTGAGTGGGGACTAGAACCCAGATCGCCTGAGTCCCGGTCCTGCACTCTTAGCCACTGCACCATATTGGGTCTCTGCAGTAAAGGCTGCACTAAGCTGTGCTGGGTTTTCATTCTTTTTACCTTCTCGTGTGTGTGTGTGTGTGTGGGTGTAGAGAGAGAGAGAGTTTTATTTGGATTTATTTATCAATCTGTTTATTTGTACTTAACATTTCAGGTGAGGGAGAAAAGAAGAGAGCCAAGAAAAAGAAGAAGAAGCACAGAAAGTAAGATCTCTTAAAACATCTCTTTAACATCCTATTATTTTCTGTTTTGTTATGTAACAGTAGTATCATAATCCTGTTTCCTCACATGTTGTTCGCAAAAGCAAAACCTTCATTATCAACAAAATAATTTGATGCTTTTATCTATCCGCTCATTCACTGATGATACTTATAATTCCAGATGTGACAATTGGCAAGACATTGCACTCTTTTTCTTAATCATCTCAAATTTTGATTTTACAAATTCACCCTGTGTTACTCTTTTTCACAGAAAAAAGTCCAAGAAGAAAAAGAGTAAGAAGAGCAGGAAGGACTCCAGTGAGTCAAGCAGTGAAGATTCTGACAATGAAACTCTGCAGGAGGATGATCTGTGGATTGAAAGATCAAGTATGTTGTCACCACTCATGCTGTCTAGCAAAAATCTAGGCATGTATGTATTTCAAGAGGGCTGTGGACAGATGCACACTTTGGGATTGATTTCTTCATATGGAAATAGCTAATTATGCCTTTTCCAACAGAAAAAATATGAGAGCTATCCAAAGAAATAGGTTGTACAAATAAGTCCTAGGCCAGTGAAACCTAGGGTTCACTTCGGTCCGGCAAATAAATAGAGAGGGTGACATGGATGTAACACATTTTCAAATGTTCTGCCGAAGCTTTGTCTTTATTCTACATTTCATTGTCCTTTTATAGAAAATGCAGATGCAGTGGATTTCATTGGACCAGAAGCGCCCATTACCCATGCCTCTCAAGATGACCGGCCCTTGAAGTAAGATTTCCAGTATAAATGCAAGTGTATCTCTTTGCAGGTGTTTAGCTCACTTGGGTGTTCAGAGTATTTGTCATGCCCCTGATCCTTGCAAGAAGCCTCCGATAAGGTTGGCCGTTGGTATTCATACTACAGCTGGAAGCTGGAGACTGAAAAAAGAGTTGCTTAAGACGATTAGTTCACTTACGACTAAGGAGAGATTTAATCTCAGGACTTCGTGTTTCATTGGTCTCGTAGGCAGTGCGCTAAACAATATTTTCTTAGAACTGCTCTTCTGCTGGGTTGGAGGCATGGCCCACCACTCAACCGCCCACCTTCCCACAAGGATGCCCTGCAGTGCAGCCCCTTGAAAGCCTTGCCATGCCGTGGCTTTGGATCATTCACTGCTTCTGAACAGAGCTGTGCCAGAACCACAGTTCTCAGTGCTCCTTCCAAACGTGTCACTTGAATGTGAAGGAAAAATCATCATTGCTTACCCTGCCTGTACTTGGTGTCGCCTGGACAAAACAGAAACGTGGAAGCCCAGTGGGAATAATGGGATGTAAGGAGTTACTTTGCAGTTTGAAATAGCAATGATAGATTAAGTTCAGGCTTCTTTCACCCCTTTAGAAATCCTTGCAAAGCATGGTCTGTATTTTAAACCCATTCAAACTTCAAGCATTTTGCTTGGTTCTCATTAGGCTCGCTGCATAGTAAGATCTATACTGAGAGAGAGATGCCAGTGGCGTTTTGAGACACGTCACCAACATCCATCGTACTTGTATCCTGCCTTTTTTCCCTTCCAGAGAACCCAAGGCAGCTTTTCCACCTTTTTATCCCCACAACAACCCTGTGAGGTAGCTTAGGAAGAGAGACATTGACTGCCCTGCAACCACTCAGCGAGCTTCGTGGTTGAGTGGGGACGAAAACCTGGCTCTCCCAAGTCCCAGTCTAACACTCTTTAACTACTGCACCCTACTGGTTCTTCACATTTTCAAAAGGTGATGTCATTTGTCTCTGTTTCTCATAGCTACGGACATGCTTTGCTACCTGGTGAAGGGGCTGCCATGGCTGAGTATGTAAAAGCTGGAAAACGCATCCCAAGAAGAGGTGAAATTGGCCTTACCAGTGAAGAGATTGCATCATTTGAGAAGTCCGGCTATGTAATGAGTGGCAGCAGGTGGGTGTTCTGATGGGGATGTTTGACATTATATGGATTTATTATCCGTTTGGCTGTTGTATATTGCATGAGATGTGAGGGTAAGGCATTTCCCTCTGTCGAAGTGAAATTGGCCTCATAGTGAAGGGAATATTCTGGTTTTGGCTGTTGAATGTTCTTGGTTTCTTGATGGGCATCATGTTTCTCATCAGACACCGGCGAATGGAAGCTGTGCGTCTGCGCAAAGAGAACCAGATCTACAGCGCAGACGAGAAGAGAGCCCTGGCATCTTTCAACCAGGAGGAGAGACGGAAGAGGGAAAACAAGATCCTGGCAAGCTTCCGTGAGATGGTCTACAGAAAAACCAAGGGCAAAGATGAAAAGTGAACTGCTTGCTCTTCTTGTACGTGACAGATTGGAACTGTTGCCAGCGAACCCCGCCTGATCATAGCAGTTGGGAAATGGGTGTGTCCAGTATTGCAGCCCTGCTTGCTGGGCCTGTTGCTGCCTGAATGTTGGGAGACAGTTCATGGGTATTATAACAATGCAGGCAGGTTTTGTGCCCTAGTCACAGGGCATTGCCAGTAGCAGACGTATACAGGCCTAAACGAAGTAAGGGAGGTATTAAGTGCAGCAGGCCATCACGCGAATTATACCCAAACATTGCCAGCAATTATTTGCAATGCTGCCATCTGTTAATCTAATAAAGCATCTTAAAATGAGCCATGAATTGAAAAGCTAATTGCAGATAGTTAAAAAGGGGACTTCCGTGACCAAAACCTGGGATTTTATTAAGGTTACTCTGTTCTACATTCTTAGATAAGGGAATGTTGAGCCAACAGTGGAAGACAGAATGCATTGAAGGTAACTCACTGGACTGGAGATTGAAGCAAAGGAATGTCCCAGTTACTTGGTGTGCCCAACACTGGGTACAAAACAAGATAGAACTGCCTTTGGTACTGGATGCCACCTTTTAACTTTCTTGCCCAGAGTAGATGCATTTTTTTGTTTGTGAGCTTTTAATTTCTCCTTCATTTTTAATAGTACAAACTGGCTTAGATCATCTTTTTTGGGTTTTGTTCAGACACCTTGTAAATAGTTAGATCATGTCACATAGCACAGATTTAACTGCATTGTTTTTAATTTCTGTCTGTTTAGCAATATGTCAAAAAGAACTGCTTGAAGAATGTAAACATCTTCATGCTAAATGGTGTTTCACTGGAATGGATTGGGCATATCTCTATAAGCTGTGGAGGGGTGACAGTTTTATGTGGCAGTTGCCCGTGTCATTCACTGGGAATTGTGAGCCCCTTTCCAGAAGCTTTAAGAACCACCCAGCAAGCCAAAGGTGCTTTGACAAAACATAGGAAGCTGCAATCTGAAAGAAGGGGAGAGAAAACCCCAAACAAAGCAGGAAGATCCTGTATATGTGTGAGTATATGGGGGTGGGAACTTTATCTGGTACATTGTGACTACCCCTTTCTTACATAATTCCAATAATTCTGGGGGAATATTTAATACAATTAAAGTGTTCACCTGGATGCACCTGTTTACTTTGTGTGATGCTGTTTTTCCACTTTAGTTTGCCAGTTTGAAGCCATGATTTGTTGCCTGAAATTTCTTGTAGAGGAAAAAAGCTGCCATCTTCATCTTCCAACATCACTGAATGTACTTATTTGGATATTTGCTCTCAGATTTGCAACTGGTGGTTGCATGTAACAGGCATGTCTTGAATCAAGATCAACTATTTCCCCTGAAAAAGACTGCCTCACTGCCGCTGTGCCAAACTGTTCAGTAAATGGGTTCTCTGCCTGCCATGATCCAGGAACCAAGTGCAGAATTGCAGATCTTGATGAAAGTGGGACTGTGATGCCTACAATTTTTCACATTAGCCCCTGTCTTTATTAATCTAGTAATTTTAAAGCAACACAGTGATTTTAACATTTTTAACAAAAACGGCAGCATGCTTGACTACAGTGACAGGCAACTTACATTTACATAGCAAGAAACAGATAATCTACAAAAAAGTTTTTCCTTATTTGCAACACCTCAAAAGGAACTAAAAGTCTACAGTCTCCATCAAGATGATTTTGCTTTCAATTACATCTTTGAGCCACTTTTCCTTAAACCGACACTCTCCTGGCCTGTGAAGAAAAACCACAGAGGAGGTATTTTAATGCAAGTGGATACTTAATGGAATTTGCAAAAGCAGTGTCAAGTATGACCTATATGCTAAAAAGCACTGTGCAATATTTGGGGCTATCAACATCTGGCAAAAGCAAAACTTTCACGATGTCTCCCTTTTATTTTGGCTTAGGCTATTTTTATTGTTTTTTGCATTTTAAATCATTTAATTTTAAACCATTGAGTTCAAACAATTTAATTTCTCTACTGACATTCCTGTCTCTGTAAATCTGGTTTTCAGCACACATAGAAAAGCTTGTGTTAATGTCAGATTTTCAGATTTAGTAAAAGTAGCAGACAGGCTTGGGAATCATCTCAAAGTCCATCAATATGTGGACATAGCTGGAGTGCATTATCCTTTTCTTGTCAAGAGTGCAGTCTTAGAAATATGCACTTCGATGTAAGCCACAATCTTTTTAAAGGGGATGCCGTCTTAGCAATGAATTCCAAAGGATTGCATAAGTTTAGTCTCCACACATGGGGGAAAAATCCACCACCCCACCTTGTATACTTTAAGGAATAGGCCTGGCTGGTTCTTTTCCTGGCTAACAGCAAATCAATCTCATACATAAAAGCAGATAAATGAAGTAGGCTTCTAGACAGGCCTGCCACGATAAGCAGATTTTCATCATAGCAATTTGACACTTAAGTAAAAACCACGGAAAATACCTGTGAATGAGCTTATTAGTCTCCACCAGAAAGAATACTTCAACAGGTAATGTCTGTTAAATAGAAAATCAGACTTAGCTAAAACTCTGAAAACACTAGGCGCTTATTTTGGTTTTAAAGTTCTACCCGACACCTAAAAGCCAAAGGCACTGTAGACCTCATAAACAAAATCTCAGGAAAGAGAAGCACCATGTTTCTAGAAAAAAGAGTATTGCACTCTGGAAGCTTCCAAGAAGAAGATGCATGAAATCAAAACTTGGTGTGCTGCGCAGATGGAGATGCTTGCGTGAGCCTTCTCTACTTGTTTGGCCCTGTTTTATTCAGAGGTGGATCGCCTATTCAGAGCAAAGGCTGCGCTCCACTTAGGAGAAACACTCTGGCCAGATTTCAGTACTGGATAGGGCCAAAGTGAAAAGGAGCAGTACTCTCTGAGTAACTGGCAGGCATTCAGCCCTTTAGAATAGGAGAAAAAATGCTACGAAAACAGTTAAGAAAACAGCCAACAATTGGGTGAAATTTGGGGGGAAGTAATGGGGCAGGGCGCCTGGCCCTCTGCGAGACCCCAGATTTGGACTCCAAGCTCTCCCCACCTTCTTCCTCAGAGCTCCTTTCCCAGGCATTCCTACCTCCTGCGGATAGGGAAGTGCTTCCTGGTCAAAGGGTCATTGCTATGGAGGAGCCTAAATCATGGGACGTTTCCTATACTTTGACAAGGGGAGCCTGCCTGCACAGGATTCCAGGCATCTCCAGGTCTCAGCTGATGTAAAAGACCTTCCCCCTGAATCCTTGGATAGCTGCCAGTCAGAGCTCCCTGGACAAAGGGTCTTTTAAGGCAGCTCTCCCTGTTCCACCTTTCCTGTTCCTTCAGTGCAGCCTTCCTCAACCTGATGGCCTTCAGAGGCATCTGGACTGCGACTTCCTGAATTCCCTTCCAGCAAGGCCGTTAACTGGGGATTCTGGGTGTTGTATTTCAAACATGTCCATACGGCACAAGATTTGGGAAGGCTGCTTTAGAGGGATCTGGGATCCTTTCAGCTACTATTTTCCCAGCTGTTTGATCCTTGTCAAGTTTCTATATTTTGTTGTTCCTATTGCTCATAAATTGCCCTGAAGCAATTTCTGGCTTCAAAGCAGAGTGTATGTTCTACATGCGAATAAATCCCTCAATTCATACCCACATTCCAGTCATGTGGGATCTCCCTGGGAAATGGTTCCCCCACCCTGCAACTGGGTAGATAAGATAGTCAAGCACAAAGGGAATTTGTGAGTCTCCTTGCTTTTTACTATTACAGATGCAAGTGCAATTAGGAGACGATCAGACAATCGTGCCTTGCCTTAAAAAACGAAGATATGAGCTAGCCTTTCATCACACACAATCAGCCCATTCACTCCCTTTGCAGAAAGAGTGAACAGATCAGGGAGTCTTCAAGTAACCAAACTTTCCTGTATTTGGAACAAAATATGGTCAACAACATTGGAAGAACTAACCAGGAGCATCGATCAATTTCAAATGTTTCATATTCTTGGAGCTGTTACTAGTACACAATTAGCTATAGTTAATTGAAGACTTCCTGGTCAGTTGTTTCACTTGCTTGCTTGAAGAGAGAGTAAAGAGATGTGTGTCTGGCTAAAAAGGCTCATTAAACCATGAAATGAGTAAATGTGCTCAATAGCTTATTTTCCCTTATTTCCGAAACAAATAGAATCAAACAGGTGCAAAAGATCAAGTTTATAGATCTTAGAATTTCCAACTGATTCTAATAAAAGTACTGCATGAATGCTTACTATCCTCTATGCTTTGATGTGTTCAGAGGAAGTGCCACTGGGAAAGCCAAAATACTTACTGGTGGTTTGATTTGGGAAACCTCTATGATGAAATAGACACAGGCTGTCGCTCGTGGGATGGGCTTCCGACATGTTGGGATGCTCCAACGGACCCGGTAGTAGTACTGTATGCTGTACTTCTTCTTTTCCTCACCAAGATAGTTTGTCCAGTGCAGCCAGCTCTCGTGAAGCTCCCACGTCTGTGAAACAATGGTAAGACATGCCATGGCCTCCACATGCAAGTTCTGCCATGTGCTTAGCTTAATCTAAGGCAGAAAGTCCACCACACTGAAAGCCCACCTTGCTTGGGACCACTGGATCGTGATTAAAGATGCCTTTCCAACTCGGTGCCCTCCAAAGCTTTTGAAAGCAACTCCCATTCTCTCCAGTCAGCATCCCTAGGGGGCACCACAGCGGGGAAGGCTGGGTTGGGGAGGTGGCTATGGACTTGGGAGATGGGTTTGAACCTCCACTTGAGCTGCAAAAGTTCACCAAGCCGGTAAACTCCACAGTTCGTGTGCAAGTAGCGCCAGGTCCAGTCCTTGTTATTTCCAGAAACGACTGGGAAGAAATCCCACTTGAAACCCAGTCGAAGCCCTGCCGGTCAGTGCCGGCAGCATTGGGCTAAAAAAACTGATGGCTTGACTCAGAATAAGGTGGGTTCCTGCATTCCTAACAACATAGGTAACTATGTGCTGGAGTTTTCCCATTGTGGAATGACGCAATCAAACCTCCGCTTGAGAGGTATGGAAGGACCTCCACTTAACGATGATCGTCATTAAGCGACTCACCAGACGTCTGGCTTAGCTGCACAAGGAAGGCAAACTTGTTGGTTCCTGAGCACATACAGCAATATGAAAAATTATCCCTGCAACTACCACAAAACGGCTGCCATGGGATGCGTGGCAAAGGACAAATATCCCACCCAGAAATATGGCAGAGATGGGGATGAAGCCCCACACACCAAAAAGCTCCCTTGAGCCCACAGTGTTGAGTACCCGCAGAAACCTTTTTCACAGCATCCATTTTTAAAAGCAAATGGGAGCAGCAGGGTTGGGGAGCAAGGAAAAGTGTCATGCAGCGTTACCCAAGAAGGTGCCCTCCAAAGGATCTGGGCTGTAGGTGCCAGCATTCCTAACTCTGCCATGCTAGGTGAAGCTGCTGAGAGCCGAAGACCAAACCATCTGGAGGGGAGAATTTTGAGGAAGGCTGGTCAACCGAGGAGGGCTTTCCCAGGGTGACAGATCAGACCCACAAGACAAGAGAAGCCGCCTTGGTGGTCCACTTAAAAAGATGTCCAGATCCACAGACGGTTGGCCACTTCACTTACATGTGACGAAAAGGGGGAAACGCATCACCAGAAGATGCGACATGTTGTGAAGGATGTATATCCCCAGAGAGGTCCGCCTGGCACTGTCGTTATTTGTTTTTTGGTGCCAGGCTAAGACCTTTTTATTTCAACAATATTTTAATAACTTTTAATATTAGCTATATATGTTTTAATCTGCAGCCAGGGTGGATCTGCATTTTATTTGTATTATGTTTTATTCTATTCTTCTTATTTATGTAAGCCGTCCTGAGGCTCTGTGAAAGGACAGCATACTAATATTCTAAATGAATGAATGAATGAATGAATTACTAGCAATCCAGTCTCAAGTCCAGTTCAAAGACCAATCTAGGGCCTTTCCCGCAACCTAGAGGTGCTGTGCATACACAGAGGCCGCCATCTTCCCCACTGTGCCCAGGTGTACGGCATTGTTTAACTTGCAGCCAGGCGCCTGTCCATATGCATGCAGATGCAAATTGTAGGCAAATCTGCCCACTTCTTAGGGTGATACTTTCCTCTGGGTGATGCACAATTGAGCATCCCAGCTATAGAACAGGTTGTAAGGTTCTCTAAATTTATTTATGTACATGCACATAAATGTTAGTTTAGAGAAAGTACAACAGTTTCTTTAAATCATCAGGAATGGTCATCACCAGTAAGGACAACTTCATAAATAATGGCATGCAACAGAGCAAGGCAGGACTTTTCCCAGCTGACCAGCAACAGGTGAGCCCCGTTCATGCAGCCCGGCAGATGTTAGGGACTTCTGCTCTCACAGGCAGGCATGTCCGGCACCTGCGTGGGGCCCCCATTCCAGCAGAAGCTCGCTGACAAGGCCCCCAGACTTGTTCCTCCTCTTCCCCACTGCATCCTGCTTGTTCACTTGCCTCTGACCCTGGCCCAGACTGCAGCAGAAAGCCGGTAGAGCGGGAGACACCCCGCCTCCGTGCTCCCTGGCTGTAAAGAAAGCAAGGGATGATGGCCATGAAAGGGAGGAGGGGCAAAAGCAGCTGGGGACAGCAGCAGCAGGGAGGTAAATTCACTGAGGGAGGGTGGCCCTTGCGGGTGTCCTTCCCCAAGGGCCACAAAAATCTGGAGCTGGCCCTGTGTCCTCCTTGACTTACTCTCATATAGTCTTCGATCTGCTGCACCCCTTTTCCTACTGTGAAATCTTGGCACTTCATCCATATAATATTTGGTACTTCATATTTGGCTCCTGCAACTGAAGTGGGAAAAGGATTAAACCCTGGTTCGAGGGGACTGCACATACTCCAACAGGATTTGTCAGCACTGCCTGCTTACGGTACAGCTCTGCCTGTTTCTTTTGCTTTTCTCGAAGGGCGTCCTTTGACCTTTGGATCACATCACTGACGATCAATCCTGCTGTATCATTGATGGCTTGCAGGGCACCTTCATCCTCTTCCTCAGCTGCATTTCTGTCTTCCAAGTCTGTAGTCAACTCCTCCATTGTCCTCAGCACTGGAGAAAAAAATGCCTGCAAAGTCACCACAGAAAAGGATGACCGCTTGGTTGTTGGAAGAATTCAACAATTTGACCTGTGTGCACATTGCACATCAACCCAATTTGCATTTATCTGCATATTTAGCATTATTTGTTCCATCCCACTGATCAGAAGTAATCAGGAAAGTAAAACTCTGCAGCAATTTTGAATAGCGTTCCAAAAGCAGAAAAGGCACCTCTGAGCCAGGACAGGTCAGCCAAAACGATCACAGAAAGCTGACGTGGTGGTGCGCTGGACGCAGGACTGGAGCACCACTATCCCCACTTCACACACTGGGACACACATGGCCACTTGAGCAGGACCTGCATCAGCCCCGGCTTTGGACAGGGCGAAGGTGCCTGATGCCACGACAGGCGCTTGGTCCCTCCGCCTCAGTCGTGCCTGTCCCAGAGCCTGGGGCCACATCCAGCTCTCCAAGTTTCCTCAGCGGACTAAGTGCTGCTGCAAAGGACTGCCTGTCTTGCTACTCACCCGTCTAAGCCCCGAGAGCTGAAGGAGAGGGCCTCCTGAAGGCATTTTCCCCACAGAAACCAATTTGTCAGGCATGCAGGAAAGGGCTTTTGCATGTACTCCCTCCCCACTCTTGACCCACTCTCTCTTTGGGGGTTCTTGGCATTGACATATTTTCCTCTATTCTAAAAGGTTCAGATTTAGTTCTGGCAGTAAGAGCTTTAGGTAAAGTTAGATGGTGTTTTGGCCCCTGTGCACACCTGCCATGCCGCCCCTGAGAACTTCTCCAGAGCAGAGTCCAGCCCTTGGGCTGAAAGAGGTCCAATGCCTCTGGTCGGCCAGGGCCAGGTTCACACAATCACCAAGGGGCTCCTTTCCCCCACCTCACTCCCCCATGCCAGTCACACACAACATGGTTTGTCCTCATACTCTCATGGAACTTGGGTCGATGTGCTGTCCAGCCTGGCCGTGTGCAGCAGGAGAGGCTTTAAAACAATTCCAGGGCTCTTAGCTAGTTGTTGCGTTGTGGGGTAGATTGGAAGCCCCCCCCCCCCACACACACACACACACGTGCCACAAACCTCACTTGCAAAACGAGGCCACTCTATGTGGCTTTTTAAGTGATCATGCGAACCTGGCCATGACTGACAATGACTCTTTGCTCGTTCCCAGTCACACCTCATTGCCAGGTACTAAAAATCATAGTCTTTGCATCTATCACCAGACCTCCTTACTGTTGAACTACAACTCTGAATGATATTTGGCCTTGCAAATACATGTTTGCCACATGCACACTTTGCAATTTTGCACTGTGCTTTAAAAAAAAATCTTGAGTATACTTTAAAAGTCACTGAGAGTGAAAAAAGACTCAGATGCATGATTGTGCTCATCCCTCGCGTTTTCTTAACCCCTCGCTTCCTGTACACTTCGCCACAAGCGCAAATCGCAAATAGCCAGCCCCAGCACAGGCAAAAGGGCGTCCATTCCTTTTAGAAATGATAATCGCGGATCATGAGCTTGATCTCAGCATTTCCTCTGCGCGTGGAAGCTTTACTACCTGCCTGGAAGGGCTTTCCGAGCTGTTTCCCGGGTGGCGGAATCGGCTTAATTTCCTCTGGGATGCCGATTCGCAGGGCTCACGCAGCAGCAAATTCGCACGCTTCGGGGACGAGTGTTTGGTCACACTCGTCACCTGGGCGACCGCCAATGGGACTCCACTTGGACGGCCAGCCATTCGGTCGCGCTTAAAGGCCCAGCGCCGGCACCGGGCAGGCTCGGCGCATTCGGCGCGCTTCCCTGGGGACCCGAGCGCCGCCGAGAAGGCCGCTCCGCTTCCGCGAGGGGCAGCAAGACGCGGGGCAGGCGTCGCCAGGCTCCGCACGCACCGGTGCGTTCCGCAGGAGGTCTGGAAAAGGAGGCGCCATTTGGCTGGGGACCGCGACCCCTTGGAGTGTTTCCAGCCCGACTAAGAGAAACACGCTTGGTTGTTTCCATGCTGGCGCCGAGGCCAGAAAGTGGGTGATCCATCTCTAACTCATTCATGGCGCTCTTGAGTCCAGAGTATCCAAACACCAGCGGTCTGCTTCACAGCCCCTTCCTTTACAGGCATGTGCAGCAGGGCCTTTTCAGTGGTAGTGCCCCTCCTCAGGGAATCCCAATTGGCATCTTTCTTCATGGGTATTGGGTGAGGCGCACTGACCGAATTTGCTTATAATGCTATCCCATGGTTTCCTTAGCTCATAGTTGTTGAATTCTTGTCATGTTGTACAAGCCAAGCTGCACTAACAAACCATGATTTGTTAACCATAACCATAAGAGAATCCATGGATTCTTGTTGAGTTCTGAACTCTGAATTGCTTAAACCCTTGTTTACGGCATATATCAACCATGGATGGTTTGTGGGTTGTTTCAGCAGGCTACAGAGACTGTCATCAGGTCTTCAGTCTGGGTTAGTTTTCATTCCCCTGCTGTGAAGACTTTTTTAGTGTCTATCATTTTATTCTCTTTGGTGTTTTTCTTTCTAATGGGTTGTTGGATTTTGTATCAGAATATTTGTTTTAAATTAAGGCAAGATGCATGTGGGATCCATTTGCACCAGAAACTTCAGGGTACATGTATTAACTCAGTAGGGGCTCTAATGTTGTTGGAGCTGTGTAACCAGTCTGGATTTCACTTCCAGCTTTTAAGGAACTATCCACGGTGCCTTTTGGGGTTTAGAGTGCAGTTCTATGGATCTCATCTTTACAGGTCAGGCTGAAATCCAGAGTGGATGCACAGCCCCTCCTGACTTTGAAGCCAGCATTCTCATCTGAGAGCACCATGACACCAATTTTAACTTGGTGTCTACAACAATGTATCTCAGAAGTAGAAGGAACAAGTATCAGAAGCCATCATCTGGTCCCTGCTTTCATGGTTTTTAATGGGATATTTCACCCTCCGGTTGCTGCTTTCTTTTTTTCTGCTACTTGTGACAGGAAATCTAGGATTTGGTTTTAATCAATTTTCCAGGCTCAAACCAGTCCCTTTGCAACAGTGTTCTGGATTTTCCCTGAATTAGGAGAGCAGGGCCTTTTGAAAGAGAAAAATTATGACCTTGGCAGAAGACAGACTCGAACAGGAAGCACAAAGCATTTGCCATGGATTAGGCGCTGCAGCCCTAGCGAGCCTTGTAAACGATTGTCCAAGTTGGCCAGCGCTGGGAGTCAGTAGGATGTTGGAGCCCCGTGTTGAATAAGGCCCGCTGCGCACTCCTTCGGCTGGTCTGCTGCCCTCATCTGTGCTGTCAGCTGGTCTATGAAATGGAGAGCGGGCACGTCTTGCCCTTGCCTCCCACAGCAAAAAGTCTAGGGCCGATCCTGATTGTTAAGCGATACCTCCTGCTGGGAATGTGGGGGCTTTCTCCTTCTCCTTAACTAGATTCCCCACGTTTATCAAACCAAGTTAAAGCATGAAGCTGGAACAGTGCCATGGGTCATTAAGAGGACATACTAGAATCTCATAACTGAGAGTTTCAGTCTCTCCCTTGCGGGAATGCATCCTCCCCAGGTTATTATTAAGAATGCATTTATTAATAATAAAATAAGAGTAAAATTATCTTGTCAGAAGCTGAAGACACTCTTCTGCTGGCACTCTCTTCCCTAAAGAGAATGCATTTTGGCACGGCGGAATTTGCATCAAGACCAGCACATGCCACCCTCGTGCACTCTTCTGTTCCACGTCATGCCCATGTGGTTTCTGTGCATACCAGACTGCAGTTCCACAGGTGGATCTCCCAAGCTGCACACACAAAATGCCGGTTCATATTGTGCACCCAGAAGCGTGCAAGGTAGGAAACCTAAAATTTAAAACAGGAGCACTATTTACCATGCAAATGTTTTAAAATGCATGTGAACAAGAGGTCATTTTTCTCTGCTCTGTGTCTAAAATGGGTAGAAAATGAAAATGTTACGGGTCGATGACTCAGCAGAGCCCACCCTTTCCCTCTGGAGACTTCGCAGAGGCTCAGCAGAAGCACAGTGGCTTCAAGCAGAGCAGGAGAACAAGCAACTCCTCTCACGGTTATGGCTCTGTGGAATCCCGTGCTCCATTTTGGCATTGCCGTCTTTTGGACCCTGGCCGGTTCATACGATGCCTTCCCCACAGGTGCTCCAGTATCAGCCTGCAAGAATATGCTGCCATTGCACAGTGGGGTCCAGCCCCAGCCAGCTGCAGCCCCCTATGAATTCTTGGTTAATTCACCCTCTTTCCTAAATGGGCAGCCAATTAACGGTAAGTTCCTATTTTACTCTTATCTTAGTAGACTGAAAGTGAAGGTATTTTTGATGCTGCAACGGTAGTAGTTGAAGAGGTGCTCTTTTCTCTACCCACCCCTTTGTCTCCTACTTAGCTGAGAGCTAAATATGGCATGTATGTCGGTAGTCAGTGATGCCTAAAAGAGTATTTGGGAATGGGGTTTATGCCTGGTGGCTCCTGCTTAGAACACACCCAGCTACCTGCAGGAGAGCTGTGTAAAGTTTAGGTATTCGAACGCAGCTCTTCCAAGGTCCTGTAGGAAAAGACAGAGGTCAGCTGAGTTCACGTGATGTGACAACCGACTCAAGGCTGAGCATGTGTTGTGGCTGAACCATTGGTTGTTTCTTGAACTCAGCCACACTAATAACCCATAGTTTGTTAACTACAAACAACCCATAAAGAGTAGCTATGGCTTATTGTTGGGTTGTGAACTGTGAGTTGTTCATGATCAAAAACACAATGCACCACAGATCAATGACAACCCCCCCTTTTTTTTGTTTCCGGTAAATACGGGTAGTTTGAGTGCAAGTTCTTATTAAGGATCCTTCTGATAAACTTCCAAGGTACTTGAAACCAGTCCTTCTTCTTCAGTTCAGATTCTCGGGTCTCCCTACAGAGGATTGCTGCTGGAGGCTCGTTCATTTGGTTCTCCCACTGCATTGGGCTTTTGGCACATGCTGCCCAACAATACTAAATTCTTACAG